CTAGATCCAATACATTGAATCGATGGAATAATAATTCTAAAAGATGTTATGTTACCTCATGCTGAATGGAATATGGCAATAAAATGGGTTTCTCAGCAAGATAATGATCCAAAACACACTGCAAAAGTAGTCAAGCAGTGGTTTCAAGACAACCACCTATCGGTGATAGATTGGTCGCCTCAATCTCCAGATCTCAACCCTATCGAGAACCTGTGGGAGATTGTCAACCGCAGAATTAATCGTGAAGGTGTTCACAATAAGGATCAACTGTTTGAATAAATCCAAAAGGCCTGGGCAGCGGCTTCACAAAGTTTCATTAATCACCTGATTGAATCTATGCCTCGAGGATGCAAGGCTGTGATCGACAACAAAGGATTCGCCACGAAATGTTGATAGCAAAACACAGCTTGGTTAACATTTTGTGGAGTTGCACTTGTTTTGTCCAGAAGGAAATCAATTTTTTTTTAAATACTTTTGATAAATTTATTAATTTTCGTGTACAAATAATGAACTTTGTGATGAATAAAACTTGAAGAACCTTGTCTCTAAACAGTTACATAGTTATTTCTCTAAATTGAAAAAATGCAGCACTTTTATAAAAAGAAACTAAATTAGCATTATTTGGTTGCACTTGTTTTGTCCGATACTGTATGTGAATCAAATATGATGATACGTCGCTCTTCTGGTGGTAGGAAACAAATTCTTGCCCTCCCAGTCATTCACATTGGTATTTTATGTTAGATATTTTGCATATGCCATATTTTCATTCAAATAATGTTATTCTAGTATTAAAAGTCACATAGCTTCTTTAGTTTAAGCTATACATCAAGTGTCCGGAGTTACCCACCGTCCGGGGCTTCCTGATTTTCCCTTAAAAGGTGGATAGTGACAGAAGAAACCAGAAAAGATTTTCTATATTGATAAATTGTTAAGACTTAAAGTAAAAGTATGACTTATACTTTTACTGTAAGTACTATGAATGGGATTGATTTGTCCGCTACGCTAATTCTTATATACCGCGTAGAGGGTAAAATAAAAGCGGGTTGTACATCTAGGCCTTTTAGTCAAGGATACTGCAAATAAAAAGGTAAATGTGCGGCTGCTGTGTTGTTGATATTACAAGCAATGTGGTTTATTACCAAAGAAATACAAATCACCTCGGGTTTTTTTTTATGCAAAACCAGCAAATTGGCAAATTAACTTTGTTTTTCAGTAAAACCGTTAATGCAAAAAAAAAAAAAAAGGAATTTATTAAACATATTTTTTTTAAGATCACATTTTGGTAAATATTTCCAAACTTTTGTTTGAAAGGTTTATAAGGGGTTGTCCCCCCCCCCCCCATTTTAAAGTTTTTAAACTGCGTCACGCTATGGGAGCGGGAAGGGGTTAGTGCTTTTGTGACAACTTGTTACTAGTAGTAACAACTATTGCGATGTTACTACTATGTGATGTACAATATAATGTACGATGTTACTACGATGTTATAGGACGAAGTTACTACGATGTAATGACAAAGGAGGGGGAGGGGTTTAAAACGGTCAAAAATTGCGTGACGTAATTTATGGACGATCCCTTATAGTTATGAATGCATAAACTTTCCAAGCACAAAATAGATTAAGAACATTAACACAATCCAGTGACAGATGCAAGGCGAGGAGGAGGGTATGGGGTATGCACCCCCCTCCTACCAAAATCTGAATTTCCTTTAATCTCATAAAAACGGAGGACCTTTTTTTTTTAAGGAGACGCCAATGTGATACAAAATACAAAATTATTTCACCTTCATAGGTCGAAAACTACTGGATCCGTCACTGACACTATCTAGATGGTGTCAGTGTGGAATTACTATTCTAGGTTTTATTTGGACCCCAAGCAATTTTTCACAATTTGTATAAAAAAAAAAAATCAAAATAAATCTTTTCAAATATAATTTTATATAGAGTAATTGCTACTATTATAACAACTTGCAGACTTGTAGCATTTAAATTATTGAAACTTATTTTTAAGTTTAGTGTTCGCTAGGTGGTAGAGTTATTTTAACTATTGCAATTAATTTTGCATTGAAATAATAGAAAATTCGTCTAGCAAATAGAAGAAAAAGAGTAACATCAGTTCAGTTTTTTGAGTACTCTTACTTAATAAGTAGAGAACAACAAAAAGAAGTTATTGGATTTAAACACTTTGTAATAGTTCTAGTTCTTTTAATCTATAATGATACTTAAATTTTAGATACTTTGTAGTTTTATTCAAGACATTTTGATGCAAACAGACTGAGCGAAATCGCATTAAAGTTCAAATTTCGACTTTATAAAAACGATTATTTTTGTATAAAAAATGTATAAAAAATGTATAAAAAATGTATAATAAATGTATAAAAAAATCATAATTTTTTTTTAACAGTTTTATTAGACAAACATAAAGTTTAATTTATTATATTTCATTTACCGCCTAAGTAAAAAATAGTGAAAGTTAACGGTTTTTTATAAATTTTTGATGTAAATTTTACTGATTCCCTAAACTACACTTTTTGATGTAAATTTTACTGACTCACCTTAAACACTGATAAAGCAATTAACCGAGTTGGGTCTATCACGTGGTTTTGAAATAACTGTTTTCTCATTCCCTGTTTCAAAAGTTAATTTTCCTCGGAAAAGTTTAATTTACAGTAAATTTAGTGAGTTGCAATATGCAGTCATTGCAATTGTTTTTGTAAATGTTCTATTATTTTTGAATTGAATTCACTCTAATAATAATTAATAGAGTGAATAATTAATAAGATAACAGTATTATCTATAAATATCTCGTAAATTAAAAAAAATTATATATATATGTATATATATATATATATATATATATATATATATATATATATATATATATATATATATATATATATATATATATATATATATATATATATATTTATATATATATATATATATATATATAATTAAAAACTTTAGCTTTGCAAAGAAAAAATAAGATGCTTCTGCATTTAAATACTATTAATATTATTAAAATTTATAATTTTGAATTAAAGTTATATATATATTATATATATATATATATATATATATATATATATATATATATATATATATATATATATATATATATATATATATATATATATATATTTACAACAATCAAAATAGTGATGAAGTAATTCAGAAGCACTAAACAAGTAAACTATAAGTCTGAAAAAGAGTTCATAAAAAGTTCATATTTTATTCTTTTTTTGAATTTATATATATATATATATATATATATATATATATATATATATATATATATATATATATATATATATATATATATATATATTACTTAATAAATTTTAATAATATAAATAATAATAATAATAATAGCAATAATAATAATAATAATAATAATAATAATAATAATAATAATAATAATAGCAATAATAATAATAATAGCAATAATAATAATAATAATAATAATAATAATAATAATAATAATAATAATAATAATAATAATAATAATAATGATAGCAATAATAATAATAATGAAATGGATGAAAATTATATATATATATATATATATATATATATATATATATATATATATATATATATTATATATATATATATATATATATATATATATATATATATATATATATGTATATATATATATATATCATATATTATATATGTATATATATTATATATATACATATATTATATGTATTATTAGATATTTTATATATATATATAATATGTTTTATATATATATATATATATATATATATATATATATATATATATATATATATATATATATATATATATATATTACCTAATAAATTTTAATAATATTAATAGTATTTAAATGCAGAAGCATCTTATTTTTTCTTTGCAAAGCTAAAGTTTTTGAAGCTAATAAAAATAAAAGTATTTTTTTACTTAAAAGGACCTAAATTTATTGTTCTAATACTATGAATTATCATTCCACATGTTTTTTAGTTAAAAAATTAGATAATATAATATAAAAAATAGTTTTGTTTTCCTAAAGCGTAAAGGAGTCCTTATATATCTTTACAAATCTCACTTGATACTTTTTAAAATTCACACTGTAGAAAAGTTCTTATATTATACGATAAAGTTTCTATGCTATACCAATAATCAATATTGCAAAGGAGGTACAATTTCAATTTAATCTTCATCCTCTTTTGAGATGTTAATGTAGTCCTAAAGAGAAATGAAGTTTCTCTTCTTATGAGCTGTTTTATCAAGAAAAATGAAATTAACTCTTGCTACCCAGAAAACATCATCCCAGTTTAACGAATACTACAACAACTTGGAAAATGCTGGCAACATTGGAAATTCATCATTCTTTTAAAAACAAAAAAAAAGTGGGAAGAAAAAACATTATTTTTTGTATTATAACTATATAAATGTTAATAATAAACTTATATATTAAAAAAACTGATTATTGTTAAGCATGAGCTCCTCTATAAAATTAGTAAAGAAATTTTTTTTGAACTGCCATTCTTGACCTCTATGAAAGGTCATTTTAAAGTTATCATTTTTAAAGCATCAACAGCTTTAAGAATGATAACTTTAAAATTTTATTTTTATACACCTTTTGAAATTAAAGAACTTTTACAAAAAATGAGTGAGACTGAAAAACTTCATTTCCAAGTCCAAAACTGCAATTTAGTAATGAACAAGGTTTCTTTAAATGTTTTGAATTGCATTAGAAAAGGCTCTATTTGATGGAAATAATTGTTCAAAAATGTCTAAATAATTGCACTTTGCTTTACACTCCTTTGTATAAATGTTTAGTTTTTCAACATTTAAAACTATATTTAGACTTGGAATTTTAATAATTATTATCTTTTAATATTGATACACATTTTTTTTTCTCATGAAAAAACTGATGTTGTTACCCTGACCCAGGGTGGGTGTGTGAAATGAAATCCTCCTTTTAAATAGATGAACATGAAACACACAATAATGAATATGCTCCTGCAATAATAATGAAAGTCTGTTTTATTTTAGCTGCTTATAAGTGTGAACTGGAAAATAGATTTGAATATTTTGAGTTTTAAATTTCTCTAATATGGAGGAAGAAACTGAGCGTGAAGTTAATGTAAGATGATTTCTTTTGAGTTGTTTGGTATTTTTGTTTTTAATCTATACTTTTTCTATGAAAATATTTTTTTATCAATTAAAAGAAAACAAAAAAAAAACATTGTTAGTTGTTTGTTAATCATTTACTAAAAAGTTTGAGGTGTAATAATCAGCCCTCGGAATTAGGGCCGGCATTTGACAATGCTGACCTAAATGCTGACCTAAATGCTGACCTAAATGCTGACCTAAATGCTGACCTCAAACATTTGCTGACCTCATTTCTATGTTTTATGGTAACCCCTTTGTGTCAAATTTTTTTGCCGACCTGATTCCAACCTCTAACAGTTTGAGTTCTGCAATTTATTGCCAACTTCATTTTTTATAATTCCAAGGGTTAAACATTTTAACATCTTTATTTTAAAGCATGATACAAAAAAAAAAAAAAAAAAAAAGTGAAAGCTAAAAATCTTGTTATGATAAAAATGATTTTTTTAATATTATATTGTTTTTAAAAAATCTGTATGAGATGTTTTATTTAAAATATTTAATTAGTAAGGGAAAATAAACTGTTAGTTTATGTATATTACAAAAGTTTTACAATAAAATGCTTGGTTTTTTTGATGTGAGTGAGTTTTTTTTATTCAAGCTGTATTTCTTAGGCACCAAAAATACCTATTAAGGATCATCAAGTGCTTAGACACTATTACTTATACTATTACATCAAGTGCTTAGACACTATTACTTACACTATTACATCAAGTGCTTAGACACTATTACTTATTTTACTTTACTAGATTTAAAAATCTTCTATATTCAAAACTAACTTTATTAAGAGCATCTTATATGCAGCTACATCTCTTGTAGAACCATAGTTTATAAACTGTGCAAACAATAGAGTTAGCTCCTATTCCTTTTCTATTTACTCTATGTTTTTTCTTACATACTTTTTAAATTAGATATCTCTATATAGCTCTATATATCCTATCTATATATTTCTATATGTCTCTAAGTATACTCTCTGACGTGTTGCTTTACATTGTATCTTTACAATTTTTTTCCTTTGGTTTCTGGTAGGTCAACCCAATTTAACACTCAATCATACATTGTGTAGGTATATTAGTATTTTTACTTTCTATATGCATGTGTTTACATTTGCTTACCTTAAATTTTAATAACCATAATTTTGACCATGTCATTAATCTATTTAGATCAGTTTGAGTATTTTCTAAATCAGAAGCTTATCTAAATATATTAATTAGCTTTATATCATCAATATACATTTTACACTTAGTTAATAACTCTTTTGGTAAATCCTTTATATAAACAGTAAACGTAAATGGACAAGATAAAGTCTTAGGGCGCACCCTAACTAAAAACTAATTAAAAAATTTATCGTTACAGACGACATGTTGCACTCTGTTACACACAAAGTTTCTACACCAACTTATTGCTTTATTTTTGATAACATTTTAGTTTAAAACATAATGTGTGATAAGGCACGGAATCAAAAGCTTGTGAATCTAAGAAAATGATGTCTGCTGGTATTTTTCTTCCACTATTTGTGTTAGTAGATTCATAGGAAAAGGCTTTTACAGTTACTTTTTTATGTTCCATTACTTTGCTAATAACTGAAGTAAGTGATATTGATCAGTAGCTTGCTGGATTTGATTTGATCTTTTTTTAATTAACCCATTTGGGACCAAATTTTTTTTTTATTTATTTTATTAGAATCCATGTATGTGCACATAGGAAAAAAAATATTTTTACAAAACAAGAGTATTGATAATGTTTTTGGAGGATATAAATAAATGTTCTCATTTAGGAATGCTGGTCTTTATAGCAAGTAAACAAAATTAGCAGAATTAGCAAAACATCAAATTATTAATTTCTTCCCATTTGGGAACGCTGGATTGATATGGGTTAAGGGCATTATATTTGCATTTAACCACGTCGATTCTACACCTTTTCAAGATGTGGTTAAGAATATGAAAGTTTTAATTAAGAAATCATAAAATGTAATTGAGAAACACAACATGTAAATAAGAAATCATAATATGTAATTAAGAATAATTAAATTATAATTAAAAAATTGTAATATGTAAATGAGAATACAAAATTTGTAATTGCGAATTTACAATGTAAGCTTATAGGTCATTATAAAAGGTTTTCTAGAACATGAATTTGAATAAGTTAATAATTTCAAATTAAGCATTTGTATGCACCAGCAATAATAATAAACTTGAAAGATTGTTTTATTTAAACAACGAGTCATAGTGTTTTATTTTAAATTTATATTAAATAAAACGTTGTTTTATTTATTAATAAGACCCAAAAGTCTGCTATTAAAATAAATCGGTGTCAGCATTTATTGCACCAAATTAGTTTACATTTGCTTCTGGAACAACCAGAACCAACTTGTCTGATTTTTTGGCATGAAATATATACAACCAAACAAGTTGAAAGAAAACATTGCGTTTTTTCTTCATCAATTGACAGAAAAAGAGTTGCTTCATATTTTAAGCAAAACAAATTTTTCACAAACCAAAAAAAAAGAGAAAGTTTTAACTTACTCCTGATAGGATTTTTCCAGTTACCGTCAAAACTGCAAATGCCTTTTTTTATCCCTTTTTTTATCCTTTTTTTTATTTTATTGATAATATATTATTACTTATTGAAAACCAGCCAATATGGACACCTTAGCAAATTAGGATCCAAACTTAAATTACAAGGTAAATTAAGGCAACAAAACTAAAAATACAAAGAACTTTGTTCTGAGAATCTATATCATAAATTTTTCTTAATTACAACTAACTTTTCTTAAGAATAACTATTATGTTCTCAACTTCATCTTACGATTTATTATTTACAATTTTTATATTCTAAATTACATCTTAATTTTCTCAATTACAACTTTCATCCATTCAATTAAATCTTGAAAAGGTGTAGTATCATATATTAAAATTATTATAACACAACTTTTAGGATTTTTATTTTCGACAACTTTGTAAAGTTCGTGTAAGCCCTGGTGTTACATTCATAAATGAGAGAGTTAATCATGTTGCTGTTTCCAATCAGTATGGCTTAATATTTGCTGTTGCTCTAAATGGTATTTGTTTTTATTTTTTAATTTTAGCTTATTGAATTTTTTTAGTTTCTTTTACTACTTGGTTTCTAAAGTTAGTGATTAAAAGAGTTTGAAGAAAATTAATATTTTTGTGAAATTTATAACTTAATTTTTATAACTTCCACAATTTAATCAGAAAATAAATAATATCTTATTACAGCAAAAAATCATAATATTAAAAAGTTTTTAACTGTGTCCCCTCCTACTTTTATAATAAATAAATTATTTTTATCCATTATCATAGCAGTATAAAATAAATTATAAATAAGGTTACATAGTCATTCGATTCTAAATGGCAAAACACTATAAACAAATTCTGCAAGCTGTTTAAATAGTAGAAACAATTGCTTCATAATATGAAAGATAGACATGTTAAATATAGTTAATTTTAAAACCTCTTTTTAATTTGGAAAATAGCTTTTATATATAAGATTTTTTATATAATAAACGAAAAAAGGCTACAATAGGAATTCAAATTTTATCTATGACAGGGCTCGAATTAACGCAAAAAAATCTTATCGCAAAAAAAAATGCCCCCTCCCCTCTCATCCCTGGCGCCGCTTTGTGGTAATGGGGAAGGGGTGGTTGGTTGTGTTAGTATAAAATTGTATCTTTTGTACATTTGTTCTTAATTGTTTTTTTTTTTTTAACATATCTCTCATATTTAAATATTATCTTATAATTTTTTTGTTTGGTTTAAAATAACATAAGTTACTGTTATAATTTACAACTTATAATTTAAAGTTTGAGTTGTAGTATGAGCAAGTAACATTAAATACTATTAAAATTTACTTTTAATAATTGTTTTAACTTAACATGATACTTATAACAGTAAAAGTAAAAAGTTAAGAGTGAAAATACAAATATTACAATATTTAAACTACTTTAATTAGTCATAGAAAACTATTTAATACATTCATGCTAACGATAAAACACGTGTTATTTTTAAAGAGTATTTAATTGTTATTGTAAAAATCTATAAAACAATAAAATAAATTGCAAAGTTTTTTTAACAATATATAATAGTTTGTGTTAAAGTAAAATAACTAGGTGATGCTGTTTTATTGTTGTTTTTACAGTTTATAATCTTAATAACATAAAAACAAAGTAAATAATAGAATTTTTCTAATTAATAAATTAAAACATTATCGTCATAAAACTTTAAACTTCATATTTGTGCAAAAACATACCTATAGACCATACGAGTCTGTATGCCCAGAAGAGTAAGATCAAAGCAAAAAAACATTAGATACCACATTTTTTATAATTTATTGTTTCTTGATCTAGCGTATTATTGAAAATTTAAGTACAGTTTAGTTTTTTCACTCAAATGATTTTTAAGTTGATGTTTTCATTTGATTTTTTCATTCAGATTATTTTGTAACAAAAAGTGAAACAAAAAAAATTTGGTTTAGTAAATCGAATTATATTTCCTGAAGTTTAAGAATATGTTTAAATTATTTTTCTAGAAAAAAATTTCTTTAAACAGAATTAAAATAATTTACTAATTTTAATTTAATTTTTATTTTATTTTTTTCAATCACTGATTTAATGTTTGCAAAATAATGATTCTACTTTTAAAACTATTTTCAAGAAACAAAATATAATTAACTATTCAAAACCTTTACAATTTAAATAAAACTTTCTTACTTTCTTGAACTACGTTTTAAATCTGATATTGTTACTGTAACTAGATAAACATTCTAGATATTTATTTTTCAGCAAAGATTCTCGCTATGCTGGGTATTATAGGCTGGGTATAACGGACGACACTGAATTAAATTTATAATTATTGAGTATTAAGTTTTTAAAATTTTTCCAATTTTTTTTCAATTTCAAATTTCAATCACAAAATTGTTTGAATAAGAGAATTTTAGAAGACTTAAATTCTTCTAAAATTCTCTTATTCAAAGAATTTTGACTTTGATTTAGTTTAAAGGTAAATTTACTGTGCAGTACTTTATCCATTCAGTAAATCAAACTAAATATAACTTTAAAATAATATTGGCTTCCACCAAGAGACTTAAAGTAATATAAATTCAAAAGCGCTTTATGTTGAATAAAATCTCCGCACAAGAGAGAAAAGATTATACTTCTATTCAAAAAATAAATTTAGCATGAAGTATTTTATGACCCCGAATAAAAAACTTAGACAAAAAAATTACTTTTAAGAATGGCCAAAAAAATGCTAAATTAGAAAAGAAAACAAATTAAAAAAACAACAACAAAAAAACAAATAAATTGCGAAAATGATTTTTTAAGAAAAAAATAATTGTGAAGTTGTGAAAAGCAATTGTGATTTGCGATCTTAATAATCTTAATTTGAGCCCTGTATAAAGTTTAAATAAATAATTATTATAATTCAATAAGAAATAAGTTGAAAATGAGATTAAAAGATATATTTTTTGGCCTTTGCATTAGATTAAAGTTAGTTAATTTGGTTCCTAGTAGATTGAATAAGTGAATCAAGATGAAAAACTACGCAGATTGTTACTGGATTTTTGATATGCTTTTATTAGAAATAAATTTTGATTTGTTTTTCTTTTTATTATTATATATTTTTTATTTTTTCAAAATATAATATTAGTAGACCATATTAAAACTTTGCTTTAATATTTTTAAATATGATATTAGGCTTGTAGTAAGATATCTTATGCTCTATGGGACATATAAAGCTTGTAAATCTTTCCTCTGTAAAACATTTAAAGCATGTAATAAAATTTATTTGCTTTTTGGAACATTTAAGACTATATGATTCTTTGGAACATTTAAGACTTTATGGTTCTTGGAATATCTAAGACTATATGATTCTTTGAAAATATATGATTCTTTAAGATGTTTGTTATTCTTATTAATGAACATAATCATAATCATTTGCATAGATTAGGCGTTTGTCAATAAAAACTGATTTGTCAAGTTTTTTAAAAAAAAAAAAGTTTTTTAAAGGTCTACTAATATCAAATTTATAAATAATTGGTATTTACATAATACTTATTTAAAATTAATTTCTTTTCTCTTTATTTTACATAGACATCAAAGTTATACATATAAATGAAATAGAAAAACATTCATCTGGTAGTGTTAAAACTGTTGGTAATTATTTTCAATTTTTGTGTGTGTTTGTTTATACTAAGTATTTATATTATTGTTGTTCACTTTAAATAAATAATATATAGAGTACATTTGAATAGAATTTTAGATATTTTATTTTTAATATGAAATAATTTGTCATTTAACAACCATAATAAAAATTTTTCTCTTTTTTTTATATTCAAGGTGTATCACATAAATTAGGACATGAATATATTTTCAAAACTGACTTTTTATTCATTTTTTAACAACACATTTCATATTAAACAACTTGTGAGATAATATGGATGCCTAATTTTTTTTACCCTATTTATCTTTTCTTATATATTTAAAACATATGCTGAAAATATATCTAGTAGTTTCCTTATTATTGCTGACACCGTCTTCTATTTATCTTTTTCTTGAATTTCCAAAAAATTTTTTTTCAATTGCAAGTGCTGTCAACAGGTTTTGAAGCTACTCCGGAGCTGAAGCCAAAGCTATCTGGAGCCGGTGTTTTCACAAGGTGCTGAACCTGAACTGGATCTGAAATATTTGCAGACTTTGGAGCCAGCTCTGAGCTAGCTGAGCCAGCTGAGCTGCTCTATTTGATAATTTAGAAGATCAAAATATGAGTATTTTTTGTTAAAAAGAAATTCGGAAGATCAAAGTTATTTTTATTTACATCATTTTTTAGCAATAAATTTTGATAAATTTTTTTTTTGTAATATGTCATGAGATTTATGTTGCTGCTTATGATAAGTTACTTTAAAACAATAGGGACAACTACACTTTCAATGAAAAGTCAGGTTATGAAAATTTTCTAGATGAAGCTATACTGGATGAAGAACATAAGAAGTATTTACAACAGGATACAAACAAGGAAGAAAGTGCAGTAGTTTGAAAAAAAATCTAACCTTTATTCTCCGAGAAGGGTGTAAACATACCAAGATTTAGGTGATATGCTGCATTGATCACACTTTGCAGTTAGCTAATTGTGATGTTTTTAAAGAGAAACACTACCCATCTTTTGGCAAGGGTCTGGTATGTTGTGAAAAAACTAATAATAATAATAATAATATATATATATATATATATATATATATATATATATATATATATATATATATATATATATATATATATATATATATATATATATATTTGCAAAAAGTTGTGGTGATTGGAGCTTGGGGACAAAAAAAATCCAATTTTCGGGCCCACCCACCCCTTAACGTGGGAGCAACAAATTGATAAATTTATTTAATATTGAATGAAATTTGAAATTTGTTGATGAATATAAAATTAAATAAAAATACTAAAGAAATTATTTTATCAACTTGTTGCTCCCACGCTAAGGACTGGGTGGGCCCAAAAATTAGGGTTTTTTTGTCCCCAAGCTCTTATCCCCGCAACTCTTTGCAAAACATTCTCTTTTGACATAAGCATGAACATACAAAAGTTTGGAGTTTGCACAATACCTGTAAGTGTCAAAACTCAAACATCTAAAAGTGTACACCGCTGATATATATATATATATATATATATATATACATATATATATATATATATATATATATATATATATATATATATATATATATATATATATATATATATATATATATATATATATATATATATATATATATATTTACAGGCTTTAAATAAAGCGTTACTCATAGAGCATTTTACATATGCCTTTAGCGATTTTATGCAAGCAGGAAGCATTAACTTTTGAATGACAATTATGTAAAAATATTTGTTACAAAATTTTGAATGTCAATTATGTTAGATATAAGCGCTATTTACTATTGAAAAAAACTCAAATAAAATAAAAAATATATTTTTATTTTGTTTTTATTTTATTGTAATGATTGATTTTTTTTGTTTGAAAAATACTCATACTTTAAGCTTGAAGCAAATATCATAATAATATAATTTAATTTTGATAAAAAATATACGATTTAATTTAAAACTAATTTAATAAAGATAAATAATTTTATTCTGAAAAAAAAAAAAATTAGATTTATAAAATATATAAGTTAGTTTTCATTTTAAAAATATATTTAATTTTATTAAAATTATAGTTAATGCTTGGGTTTAACTTAACTGTCAAATTTATATAAAAATATTGCTAAATATTGTTCTATATTAAAATTTTATTTATTATTATTGCAATTATTTTTTCGGTTTTCTTTCCTAAACATTTTTTTTTACTCAAAATTAAATTGCTGCATCAAGAATTTGCACAAATTGTAATTTAAACTTTTTTTTTATAATGCAAATTATAGTGCAGAGATTATTTTTTAATAAATGATATATACAGCAATGTAATTTTAATAAACGATGTTTGGAAAATAATCTTTGCTTTCACAATAAAATTGTTTATAAAATAATAAAAAATAATAAACTTTTTATAAATAAAGTAAATAAGTTTATGTAATTTTTTTACTTGTTAATCGCTAATTTTTTTTTAAATGAAAATTTATTGTAAATAAAATGTTATTTGTAGTTGCAAAGCCACAATTATAAATTTAAGAAATAATCATTTGAAAATTCAAAAATTTAACATATCTTAATTCATTTATGCAAATGTCGAAAAAAGAAAGAAATTTGTTAATATCAAACATTTTTAAAAATCTGATATTAAATTTAATTAATAATTTTATTAAACAAAAATTTAATTATTTAATATTATAAAAAATTAAAAGAAAATAAACATTCTCTTATAGTAATAATAAAAAAGAAGTTAAATAATATTTTACTTGTTTTATGGTAATTAATATTACTGCAGTGATTTAAAAAAGTTAATGTCTTTAAAAAATTAACAAATAAAGAAATTTTATGATGCCAAATTAACATTAGGCTATTATTAAATAATAAACAAATAAAGTAATTTTATGATGTCAAATTAACATTAGGCTATATATATATATATATATATATATATATATATATATATATATATATATATATATATATATATATATATATATATATATATATATATATATATATATATATATATATATATATATATATATATATCAGGCCTTGTTAAGAATCATTACGCAGCTCGCATTTTACCTGCGAAAAGGCGATTTGCCTATGCGTTCAGCAGTTTTGCGTTACGCAAAAACTTTAATCTTTTAGAATATTTAAATTATCATTTGATATCGTTTATGTGATGTTTATTCAGAAGAAAATAAAGTTGTAAGTAAAAGCATTTAACCGCAATTGTAAACTATTAGATTTTTTGTTAAAGAAAATTTTTTTTTGTTTAAAAAAGTATTTTTATTGTTGTTGTTGTTAAAAATTAGTTTAAAAAAAATAAGTGTTTTAAGTTTAAACTTATTATCATATTTAATATTAAGTTTTATATTTCATAAGTTTAAAAACAATCAAATTAAAAAAAAGAAATATTTTCAATTTATTTTATTAAATTTAAATATTTTTTTATTAATTATAGTTTTTAGTAAATAAATTTATTAAATTTAATTAAAATTCTTTCATTTAATTTAAAAAAAGAGCATTTTAAAATTTTTTAATTTTAAAATGCTCCGTTTTTTTTATGATAAAATTTCCAAAGTAAAAAAATATTAATAAATTTAATTCAAGTTACTTTAAAATGTTCGTATTACATATAACTTTATTTTAATTTTAGTTAAGTTTCAGGTAAGTTCCAAATACTTGTCTGAATAATGCGCTTAACAAAAGTGCATTATTTTCCAGTTTTTATTTTTCCATTATTTTACAGTTTCATTCATTTTTTACAGAAGCGCATTATTCATTTTATAACTACAAGTTAATAAATGACATCAATACTTTTAAACTCGAGTTAAACCCTTTGCCGTTTGCCAAAGAATTTTTTTTATAAAACAAACCAAGCACGTATTAATAATACATTATTTACCAAACAAGCTAAACACACGTTTAAGTATTCAAACAATTAGTATATTGTATTGTCATCAAGCAAGAGTATGTATGCAAAATTTGAAGAAAATCTATCATCAGGAAGTGACTCAAAAATTGATTGCAAGGTTTGGTTTTGCGACCGTGGGAATAGCCTTTTTAGAATAGGAACACTGCAGCCATGCGAATAGCCTTTTTATAATCGGAACATGGCGGCTGTGCGAATAGCCTTTTTAGAATTGGAACACAGCGGCCGTGTGAATAGCATTGGCCATATATTTTATACTTGTATGGACTTAAAACATGTTTCATTTTTGTAAGACTGCATCTCTCTTTTTTAATTTACAAGCACTTATAATTACTTCACAAAGAAGTTATTATTTCTTGTTTTTTTTAAGTAAAAACTCTTTTATGAATTGTCATTCAGGAAAAAAATTCTTTTGCTGTATCTTTCCCATTGTGCTCTAGAAAATTTCACTCTTAAAGTTTTTTGAAAATGCTTTGGAATTTTCTTTTCCATATTTATGTTTTCCTTATTTATACATTTTTTTTTTTTTCTTATTTATCTATTATTTTTTTATATTTTGAAATTAATGGTTGCTTGCATCATGGACAAAAAAAAAGTTAATTAGATAAAAAAAAAAAAAAGATAAGATTTGATCCAATTATACAAACTTATGAACCTTATGAAGGATTAACTTATGATTATGAATTATTAGTGGTATTTGTATTTTTTCCACCGGTTAAACAGTATAAGAGGTAATTGCTAAAACATTTTAAAGAATTTGCCAAACATTCTTAGAGGAAACGTTTTTTTTATAGAATTGCCAATGCGATTCTATAAAAACATTTAGGTCTTTTTGTGGCCTTAGTAAAACAATTATATTTTTGTTGTCTTGATCTATCAAAATTAGTTGAGAAAAATACAAATTTATTTGAAAGTTTTTTGTGAAATTTACAGCAACAACATAAATATAAAAGAAGTGTTGGTAGAGTATGTTGTGTATGAGTTGGTATTTGTATGAGTATGGTACTTTCAAAAATGTATATGCATCAATACCTCTGTCATTAACAAATGACTTGAGAAACAAATGACAGTAGGCCTCCCTAAATTGTCTATACTATATTAACTTGACTTATCTTTTCATATCTGCTAATATTAAAAATGATCTGAAATCAACAATGAAAAATAAATGTTAATTTGGAATTGTTGATAAGTTTGAAATTTGACCGGGACCGAGTTTAATATTCATGTATATTAATATATAAAAATCATCATGATCATCATCATCATCATCATCATCATCATCATCATCATCATCATCATCATCATCATCATCATCATTATAAAGCTTTAGCCTTCCTCTTTTGTGCTGTTTAAACAATAAATATAAACAATCTTGTACATCTTCTTTCCTTAACTCATTCATACCATATGTAATGCATTCTCTCCGAGTTTTCTTACTCTTAACTCCTACCATTTTCTCCTACCTCTGCTGCTACCACTCTACATTGGTATAATCAAACTACTTTAATGTTTTCTGACAAACATTGCTCGATACAATGTTTTTGATAATCTCTGTCTATGATTATGGTTCTTTTTCTTGTTTGTTTTTTTTTAAACTTACCACACATCCATCTGATCTTCTTTTTTTTGGGTAATAACACTGCATAATATAAATACTAAAGTTTATATAAATATACAAGAATATTGTATGCAGGCATCTAAATAAGTAGCAAACATATATGTTTATATTCACGTTATATATGCATAAAGGTACCTTTTACCTAACCTCCTGGATCCAAACAAGTATGGAAGCTTTTATTCTTTCTTGTTGGTTTAAAGTCAAGCCTCATTCTACATTTTTCACCTTCTTGTGCAGTTGCTATATTTAACTGTAATCATTTTTTTCATCTTATTTACAAAAACTTCTCTACTCTTTTAGGAAGAAATATCTTTTTATTATAAATCAATTTAAAAAGGCCATGTCTGATGCTATGCTTCATTATACCCAGTTTGCTAAATCTTGTATCTTATCTCAGATGTTAGGTTCTAGAAACTTATGGAAAATTTTCAGCAGTGTCAATAACCAAAGCAAGTCTAGTATTTCATCTCTAATTCACTGATCTGATCTTATAACTTCTCCTCAGAATAAGGCATAGTTGAATCAAATGGCCAAACTCTTCCTGCCTATCCAGGTAAACAAGTTTAACCATTGTTAGACATCCAAATCACTTCAGCTTCCAATGATCAAGTCAATTCTCAATTGAACTCTTCTACGACTTGTGGTTAAGATAACATTTCTTTCATAGTCTTATAAAAGTTTTCTCCAGAACTTTTTTTATTTCTTGCCAAACTAATTATAAGTGCTCAATAAGTGGTTCTAATTATGAAAAAACACTGACCTCTCTGACTATCTTTCAATCAGTCTTCTCTTTATTATTGAATAAAAATTTTTCTTATGTAATAACAAAGAGAATAAATATATAGAGAACAAATATATGGAGAATAAATATCTAAAGTTTCTTTACATAATGGTTTTATGATCATTACTTTCTAACAGCAGTAATTAAGTCATTCTCAAAGTCATTCTCAAAGTCATTCTCAAAGTCATTCTCAAAGTCATTCTCAAAGTCATTCTCAAAGGCCTCTACTCTTGATTTCCAATAATTTAAGGCTACAGCAAGATCTTTGCTCTTTTATTGATTCTTATAAGGATAATAATGATCTTTCTGACAATCTTGTCTTGACAAAAAGTCTTCAATTAAAACTTAGAACAAGCAATCTTTAGTCTTTTTCTGTAACACCTTTGAGTTTGCAGTGGCTTTAGGAGTTTCAATAAATTTACTAAACATCAATCTGCAAAATGGAACTTATTGTGATAATATTTATAAAATTTTTGATATAAAATGAAAGGTTTTTAAGAGTATGATGCAAATTACTGTTATACTATCTTCCACCAAGGCTGTGGAGTCGGAGTTGCGGAGTTGCAACATTTTCAGTCGGAGTCACTAAACAAAATTGCGACTCCGACTCCAATAGTAAATTTTCTTGGTATTGCACGTGCATGTACAAAACATTCAATTAACCTTATGTTCATACTAAACCTCAAAGAATATTTTTTAAAAATTTCAAAGAATTTTTCAAAAATTTTGATTTGGAGTTGGAATCGGAGTTGGAGTTAGAGTCAGAGTCGGAGTTGTACTCAAAAAATTTCAACAACTGGAGTCGGAGTTGTTACTTTTTTTTGTCGACTCCACACCCCTGTCTTCCACAAACGCTGCATCAAGTTTTACCATACTTATGATAAAAAAAAGGCTGTATCAAGTTTTACTGATAAAAAAATTGTGTAATTTTTATTATTAATTTCTTTAAAAATTTTGTTTAATGGGCTGAGGAGTTTATGAAATGTATATTAGAGTTAATAAATCCAAGTTTTCCCAGAAGGTGTGTGGGGTCACTCGCCTTGTTTGTCCATGTTTAAAGTAATTTTTTTAGACACTGGCAGTGTCTTTGCATGTGTGTCATGTTCGCATTTTTTAACTTTTAAAGCATTTCAATAATTATTGAAATTGCTGCAAATTTCCCAGCAATTTCTTATCTACCGAGAAAAAAAAAAAACAATACTAAAAAAAGGAAACAAAAGTGTAACGAAATATCAAATTTTAATTATAAACTAGAAAAATTTAATAATTAAAGAAAGAAAATTTAAAAAAAAAAAATCAATAAAATTTTTATACTATTTTTATTTTGTTTTTTTAAGGTGATTGTTATTTTTATCTACAGAATTTGATACAAGTCGAGCAAAAAAACATATAGTTCATAAAAACAAATTTATAATTTTATAACAACAATTGAAAGTTTTGATATGCAATTCATTCACGGTTTTTACGAAACTTATTTGCTATGTACTCTAGAACTATGAGAAACTTTGTTAATTTTTTTACTTTATTCATTTTCACATCTTTTAGTTTTTAAAAATGTTTTTGCTATATTTGACGTTTTTTTCTCAATACTTATATAATAGGAAAATCAGAAAATAAATTTCTATTTATTTGTATAATATATTATTTTATAAATAATTTTATATTAGTTTTCTTGTTTTCCTGTGTATTGATAAAAACAGTTAAGTTAGCAAAAAAATATTTGAATAAAATTTTAAAAATTGTCCTTATTTCTAGCGCAGAAAATAAAATATTTCCTTAATATTATTCCTGATTGAATTGTATATCCAAAAATGTTTTTATTTTCGTTATATTTTTATCTGCCTTGTTTCTTGACTTGTATTAATTTTGGCAGTGGAAAATAACAAACGCCCAAAAAAAAAAAGAAAACAAAGCAAAATATTTAGGTATATTTTATTTTTGACAAAATTTTTCTTTTTTTAATTTTCAATTTTTTTAAAGATGTTATTTAGATATTCTATTTTGTATAGTATTCATTTCCTTTCTTCGAGTATTGCTGTTTTATTCTCTGTAGTTTTTTATAGGTTTATTTTACCGCAAATTCTTAAAAATGCTTACTATAAAACGTGGTCAAGTTGTCTAAAAAAGTTACTTTAAACATGGATGAACAAGGTGTACGATTGCACGCGCTTCCCGGGAAGACTTGTATATAAATAGACAACTTATTTTACTTAGTCATTGTAAAAACAAATTTCCACCCTTTAAATTTCCACCCTTTAAAGACCTAATGGTATCTAATAACCTTTCTTTACAGGCCTAAGGATATTTAATAACTTTACTTTCATTTGTTTCTTTCTTTTTAGTTTTTTCTTTTTTTTTTTTTTTTTTTTTTTTTATTGATATCGAATAACTTCTTTTTCACATTTCTATTAACATTGAATAATTTTTCTTTACAGTCCATTGGTATCTAATAATTTTTCTTTACATTGATATTGAATAGCTTTTCTTTAAAAAATAGCTCTTCTAGTAACAGTTTCTTTATATGTAAGCGGTTTAACAGCCTAAAAGTGATTCAACAACCTGGAAGCAGTTGTCATAAACTATAACAGTTGTTATAAACTATATATATATAGTTTATAAGATGTCTTTACAATTGTGATATGCATCCTGGTGATCATTATGATGCTCTACTCTTAATTTTATTATTTAGTTAATGAAGTTAAAAATAAAAACAAGTAAGTAAAGTTATAAAAAAAAAATTGTTAAGCAATTAAAAAATTGAGACATAGATTTACTGTAAATAAATGTAAGTATTCAAAAAATACTTGTGATAGTTTTAAATTTAAATATTGTTTGATTTTTGGAAGAGAATTGTTAAATTTGTTTTAGTTACAAGTTTTAATCATCAAGTTATCAAAATTGGATTTCCTATTCAACAAATTTGTTTGTCGTGTGATGAATCAACACTTATTATTGTTTACAGAGATGAAAAAGTTTTAAATATTGGAGTTGTTGATATAAAAATATTAAATGAACAGGTAATTTTTGGCATCAAGGTATTTTTTTGTTTATTAGTTAACAAAAATTTTTAAAACTTAATATATTTTATATATAGAATCAATCAGAACCCATATTTGCAATGACATGCATATCACAGTCTCCAGGTAATTCTAAATTTTTTAACGTATGATACACTTCTATGCCACTCATCTTTATTATAACTATCAACTGCATTTGTACAAATGTCACTTATCTCTATAATAATCAGCTAGACTTATACAGATGTTGCTCATCTCTTTACTAATCAACTAAATTTATACAGATTTACTTATATACTTCATTTGTTAATAATACTTTTTTGTTATGCTACTGTGATTTTTCGTAGATGTTTATGTCAAAGATATGCGTGTTCATCCTGACACTCCTACATTAACAGCTATCTGCTTGTCTAATGGTCATGTTTTGATCCTTGAACTATCAGATGTTGTATTGAAAACAGTTTCAATGCTTACAAAGAAAGAAAATGCATGCTCAAGTTTGTATATATATATATATATATATATATATATATATATATATATATATATATATATATATATATATATATATATATATATATATATATATATATATATATATATATATATATATATATATATATATATATATATATATATATATTAAATATTGACAACTTCAAATAAGTTTAGTTAAAAATATTTTAAAATTAAACTGATATAAATATTTTATAATAAAATTTCTTTTTATGAATTTAATTCTATTTGTTTAAAATGTATTTATTTTAATGATATTTCGAGGTAATATTTATATCCTTGTTATCAGGTATAGTAAAAAACCACTATAAAAAATAAACTGCTGTATTATACAAAACTATTTTAATTCATAAAGCCATGTTCTTTGTAAGAGCTGCTTTTTTAAGAGTTTTTTTAAGAAAGTTTTGTGACGTAAGAATTGGAACATCTCTAAAAGAAAGACATTGCAACGGTTCCTGTGGAAGTTTCCTTGAAATAAAAAAATTTTGAAATGTTGAGCTACAGTTGAATTTTTCCTTTTACCTTGTTGTGCACATGTTTGATGTTGGCATATATACGAGATGATATCTTTAGCCCTGTTTCACCAATATAACTAGTTTTACTTTTCTCGTCATAGTCATTTTTTACAAATACATTAATTAGAAACAACAACTCATCATCAATATTTTTTACTGTACAGAAACATAGTGCTCTATGGGCGAAATCTATTAAGACGCCATCGATAATTTTAGGTTCATGGCATGAATTTGGTTTAATTTGTACGTTTGTGGTTGTAATGTATTTTAAAAGTATATGTACCTGTTTTATTGTTAGTAACCGAAATATCAAGATAGTTTAATGTATTTCAGGCCTTGTTTTAAAGCGTTACGCTGCCGGCAGTTTACATACACGCCCAAATTTTTTTACAAACGATTTCCATTAAGCAACAAATTTTTTTTTGTATAAATGACTTTCCGTGCAACATCACATCTTTTTGAAAAACATGTGGGTGCATAATAGTAGGCAGAAAACATAAAAACTTTACAAGTAATCATTTATAAGTTCATAATATAAATACACTTTATAAGTGTTTTTTCCTTAAATAAAATTTTTATTTTTTTTTGAAAAACAATTTGAATAATTAGTTACATAAAAAATGTAACTAATTACATAAATAATTAATTACATTTTTTTTTTAATTGTAAAAATTAAATTTTTTAAATTATTTTTATAAAGTTGATTGCTATTAAAAACTTTTATGTATGCATTTTATGCTCTTCTGCAAATTTTATATTCAGAATGATCTCATAAAACAACAACAAAAAATCTTATAAGTTTTTTTAATTGATATTGTTTTTAAAAATCTTTTGAAATTTAATAAATAACAACATCATAATTGAGTAATTTTAAGTAGTAGTAATTGAGCATCAGTGGTTAGAGACACCTAATGTTGCCAATTGTAACAAGAAGTAAAAAAAAAAAAAATCAACAGAAAATAGTAGAAAAGTTAGCAGCAAACAATAAAGACCTAGTTTGTTAAAAAATAAGGTATTTTTTAAAACTTCACACTTGTGTTGGAACAAAATGAGTTCAGTACAGTACAAAAAGGTAATGAAAAGATTTTTAAATCAGACAATAAACAAATTAAAACTAATAACCTCCTTTAAAATGTATTTAGATTTTTAATCTGTAAATAATAATATAATGCTTTTCTATGAATTTACCTTTATTATTTATAAATATTCAGGGTTGGCCAGCAATTTTTACATCCCGATAAAGTCAGGAAATTAGTTAAATTATGCAAAACTCAGAGAATTTTGTTGATTTAGTTGCAAACTATAAGTTATTACTTGAATTGGCAATGAAAATAAGATTGCAAAAAATGTATTTTAAAAGTCTCATAATAACATCATTATTTTAAATTCAATGAGAGCACTTTTGAAGCAAGTTTATGTTTTTGGGTAAAAGTAAAAGGCTATGTGAAATTTGTTGCATTGTATGTTAATGTTTTAGGGATTTTGCATTGCATGTTAAAGATTTAGGGAAAAGTCATGGAAAATAAACATGACAATTTTCTGGCCACCCTGATTATATACATTTACATTAATCAGCTACACTCATATTAAAATGATCAATGGCATTCATATTCAACATGGTATTATCTAACAAATTGAGAGATCCTCACAGTCATATAACTAATGGGAAGCATTTTATGCATTAAATTCGCATGAATATTATGTATAGGTGATTGACATTATTTAACATGAAAGCTGACTAGATTTCATTAACATGAAAGCTGACATGACATCATCTGATTTTGCGTCCAGTTGTAGTCTTATGTAAAAGGTATGATTTTTAATGTTGCCCCAATAGCATTTTTAATATCAAGTCCTGGTGTAGTGAATTAATAAAAGTAAATTAAAACTCTGGTATAGAAGGCTTTATTCAGCAAATTCATACACATATAACCTAAAGATACAGTCGTATTATTTTATATAAAAAAACAATAGTTTTTTTTTTTTTTTAACATCTTCGCTTCTAACAAGGCTGCAAGCAACCACTATTAGAGTTGGAGGTTAATGATAAAGATTATAGAGCAAGATAAAGATTGACAGATGACTTGAAAGATTGCAAATTATATGAATCAAGAAAGCATAATGAAAGAGGCTAATTCCAAAGAACTGATATTCGAGTAAAAAAACTAGAGGAATAACAGTTTTTAGAGCATTTAGGAACAGTCACAGAAAACGGACGAGACTTAATTGAATGACGAGTAATACGAAAATGAATTTTAGTAAAAGGCACAAGAGACGCTAGTTCTTTAGAGCAGTGCCCATTATAGTATTTTTAGAAAAGAGAAAGAGAAGCAACATTACGACAATGTGACGGAGGTTGAAGGTTGGCTGCAAGAGCAGGTCCAACTATGTTTACAATGCGTTTTTGCACCTTGTCTAAAAGAGAAAGGGCATCATTAGAAGTTCCGCCCCAGATATGGCAACAGTATTCTATACAAGGCCGGATTTGAGATTTATAGAAATAGAGATAAAGAATAGAGACCGGAGTAATAAAGTGTTCAGTTCAATAAAGAGATCTTAGCGGATGTTAATTTTGCAACAGATTTGATATGCAGTTTCCAAGAAAAATCGGAACTAAGAGTTAATCCTAGAAGATGAAGGGTAGATGACTCATCAAGTTTACCATTACCATTCATATATATAGGAAAATCTAAATTATTGCAATAATGATTGCCTGAAAAAAATTGTTTTTCATCTGAATTAAAGTTCATCAGCCACTGTGAGCCCCATACAGTAGCAGAAGTGAGATCCTTTTCAAGCTCAAATGCCTCCTTCAAGCAATCAGAGAGTGTTGGCTTCTTATCATGACAAGAATAAATGGTAGTATCATCAGTGAACAATGTCACCTTAAATGTGGGAATATCTGGAAGATTGTTAATGTAAATTAAAAAGAGTGTAGGGCCAAGGATTGAATCTTGAGGAACTTCTGAAGTTACAGGATATGAAGAAGAGTGCTGTCCATCAAGGACAACTTTTATACTATGATTGGAAAAAAAGGATTCAATAATCTTAAAGATGTTACCAGTAACACAATAAAAAGAAAGCTTATTGAGAAGACCAGCATGCCAAACTTTATCAAAACCTCTAAAAATGTCAAGAGCGACCTTTACTTTGACCTTTACCTTTCCACCTTTTTTTTATCTAATGTACAATAAAACCTATCAGTAATTACTGTTAAAAAATCAGCCATTGATGAAAAATTCTTAACAAACAATTTACCTTTGTCTTTAGCTGAGGTGACAAAGCCTGAACCATACAAGAGAGGTTGAATAACAGATTTGCCCTTTGTTATTGATACTGTTAAAGATTCTCCAGAAATCACAAGAGCCTAATATTTGTGATGAAATACAAGATTTTATGACATAAGAATAGCCAGCTTTGGCATTAGACAAAACCTTTTTATAATGGTTTCTAGCAATAGTAAACAGACTTGTTTCTGGAGAACTATTTTACTGATAGATATGGAAATAATGGTTTTGATTGGAAATTGCAGCAGCACAATGTAAGGAAAACCATGGAGAAGAGTGTGACTTGACCTGAAATCGTCAAGAGGGAATAAAAGATTCCATACCAGCCTAAATCCACAGTTTATGTAAGAAGCACATTTGTTAGCAGGAAGTTAAAAGATTTCTACTCAAGGACCATCATCAAAAAAATCACAGAAAGATTTCCAGTCAGCTATAAGGTAGTTGTAAGAGATACGATGGTAGGGGTGTTCAGATGAAGAAAAATGAGATAATAGTTTTAGAGTGATCAAACTGCAATCAGAAGTAGCTAATGGTGAATGTGGAGAAACTGAGCATTGACTAAGATCAGAATTAAGACATAAGTCGAGTAGAGAAGGTAAATTATTTGGGTTGTCTGGAAAGCGAGTTAGAAGGTTGATTATTTTAGTTAGCGATTGAGAAAGGCAAAAGTTGTGGTCTTTGATGCCTACAGAATCACGACACTAGAGCCAAGCTGTTCAGTGTGATGACCATTAAAGTCACCGACAACAACAATATTAGCTGATGGATAAAGAGAGAGGGTTTAGTCAATATGATCAGAATCAACATCAAAAAGAATGCAGTCTTAAGATGAAGGAGAGTGATACAGAACAAAGAGAAAGATGTAAGAGTGAAGTGGTGCTAAATGAAAATACATAAAACAATAGTCTGTTGATTCAAACCTAGTTTCTTGATAAATGGGTGAATTCTTACGAATGTAAATGCCCAGGCCAAGCATGTGACTATTGGAGTCTTTACAAATTAAAGGAAGATAACCATCAACACTAAGATCACAAAATGAGACAGCTGAACTCAAATTAGTCTTACAAAGTACAAGTCGGTCTGGTGAACATCGCAAGAGATAAGACTTATTATTAATTACTGCAAAACGAGTTTTGTGATAATATATAGTATTGCCGTAGGTTAAAAAAGTTAGTCTTTAAAAAAATTGTAAAGCAAAGAGAATTTTAATATGTCAAATTCACATTAGGCTGATGCATTAAGCATTTTTTAATTTAAAACAAGGCCTGTATTAGTTAGCAGATTTAATTGTGTATTGAATACTTTTATGTTTTTTATTATGTAAATCTAAAAACTTTTGCCCATTTTCTTTTGCCTGGAACCTTGAATTTTATCATTAACATATCTTTTGAATGATTTGCCAAGGATATTTTTTTTAGTGTCATTGAGAGAGCTTTCATGATAAAAAACACTTGGCAGCCACTACTATAAAAGCTAAGCCGATTTGTCCAGAGTTTTCCAGCTCATAAGTATCATTTTTATATAAAAAATAGCATTAAGAAAGACAAAGTCCTAAAATTAACCTGATCTCTTTAAAAGTTAATTTTGATATAAAGCTCTGGTTGTTTCTTTTAAACTAATATAATGATTGCTCAAATGGGATTGATGCTTACAAATTAACATCGGAATTTCATTCTTGTCATTTGCTGTATCCACAAACTGCTGAGAATTTTTTAAATATGTTATATTAAAGTTTAGAGTTGGTTTTACCATATTGACTAAAAATTTAGAGGTATGTAAGTGTGTAGTGTATGGTGTTTTCAATTAACCACATAGTCTTTCTAGCTTATGCGCTTTAAATACTTCATATAAGTGTGGTGGTACGTGGTAACTTTCTGAGAGTGGTTTGAGTTTTGTGAACAATTTGAAAAAGTGTTATCAAATCACCAATGATCATGACCACCCAGGATTCATGGATTTTCAATAGTTTTGTGGGAAGTTTTGAAACTTTAAGGTCTATAAATCAGTGTTTAGAGTAATTCATAAAAATTCTGAGTGTTAAATGAAGCCCATATATGTTAAGAACATGTATTGAAAATTGAAAGCAATTTTTTTATCCAATATCAAGTTATCGCGTTTTAAGTTTTCAAGAAACGCTTAAAATGCGAAGCTAAGAAAAACACAAAAGAAAGTTTGAAAAGTGAAAATTTCAACAAATAAATCATTAAATCCTAAATTAACTTTCTGTAGCATGGGTCTTTTTTCTTTTAAAACGTCACTGTAGTTTTTCTGTTCTAATGGATTTACTTTGCTTTTTTACATTGTAATGGCTTTTTTGGTCATTTTTTGGTTTTACGCGTGATATATCCAGTTTCTTTGCAATTTGATGTGAAACTGTTCCTGTCAATCTGAAATTTTCTAAGGTGCCAAGGATTCTGTTTCTGCCATTTTTATAATGTATTACAGGTTAATAGGTACTCATTTCTAATATTTACATTCCTAAAAATATAGATTTTGATACACAAGACTATGTTTGCATTTAAAGCCGCACTTGCATAAAAGGTTGCATTATACATTTGCATTATAGGTTTTGACATAATCTTTCCCAATAACACTTCTGTCATTAAAGCTTTAAAAATTTGAAAGATTTTTTTATCCACATAGGAATTAAATTTAGTAACTCATTTGTCTTCCTTTTGAACACTTTAAACAGTAACTAAAAGTGTTGCTACTGTTCAAAATTTTCATATGAAAAAATGATCAAAACAAATGTATGTATGTATATATAGAATTCAAATAATACGACTGCATAAACATTTTTGAAAAAAAAAATATTTTTATTTAAATATATATTGTTAGATATTTTGCTGATCTATTGTGATCAGGTATAATGCAGGTGATTTCAATAAATACAACTGTATTTATTGAGTTTTACATACATTTTATTGTATAAGAAAAAAATTACTTTCAAAGATATATATGGTGCATTATAATTATAGTTTACAAATTAGTTTGTATTTCTTATGACTTGTGTATAAGTTGAAGTGGCTACTTTAACTTGAAAATTTGACATAAACCTCCCGACTTAAATGCAAGCATATGCAGTATATATATGTGTGTGTGTGAGAGAGTAAGCTAGGCTCTTCATCTGTGCTTAAGAAAGCTTAACTAGGAGAAAGAAAAATAGTAAATAAGGGTGTTAGAGCTAGTAAAATTTAAATAGTTATACTTTTAATGGTAGAGTTACAAGAGCATTCCGCATATGGATGATATTTCATCCAGTTGTCACCAAAAAAATGTTTCAAGCAATAGCCCAGAATTCTTATCAAATTATGTAAAATTGTAAATTAAAAAAAGATAAAAATGACAGAGGATAAAAATTGAGCTTATTAAAGAATTTTTTGTTTTTCTTTATTAAATTTCATCCTTTTATAAAAACTTGAATTTAAAACTGTCAAAATTATAGAAAAATGCTAACTTCAAGCTGCTCTGTTGAATATAATTTTGAATATAAATGTCTAAACTTAAGCTCTTTCGAATATAAATGTGTAATTGTAAACATTTCCCAAAACTCTATGATAAGAGTCTTAAAGATTAAACTCTATGATAAGAGATTACTAAAGAGTCTTAATGAGAAAACTCTATGATAAGAGTCTTAAAGAGAAAACTCTACGATAAGAGATCACTAAAGAGTCTTAAAGAGAAAACTTTAGGATAAGAGATTACTAAAGAGTTTTTAAGAGAAAACTCTAGGATAAGAGATTACTAAAAAGTCTTAAAAAGAGCTTACTAAAGATTGAAAGATTTTTTTGCAATTCTTTTGTCTTTTTTATTTTTTGCCTTGCCACATCAATTTTATAAATTATAAATTAAAAGTTAAAAGATATAACTAAAATACAAAGCACTATTAAACGCTTAAATGCAGGTATTGCAAGGAAAGTCTTTTTTAGAGACTTAGATCTTCAGATCTGGATCCCATTAAATGGCTCTTTTGGTATAAAAAATTGCAGTAATGCAAAAAAATCATTAAAAAAAATAAATCATTTTCGATGATTATCTTAAAATTAAATTTAGTTTCATGGAGTCCTAAAGGTAAAAGAATCGCTATTGGTCAAAATGATGGAAAGTTGGTCCAGTATGATAAGGTTTATTTGTATTTATTTTTTATTTGCATTTATTCTTTTTGGCTGAGTTTATAGGTTCATAATGTTTAATCACAATTGAACCACATCAAATTCCCTTAGTAATTTTGTTTGTGTTTTTATTTTAAAGAGTGTTATAAAGAATTTAGGGAGGGGGGGTTGTATTAAATTGAAAAAATATTTTTAAATTAAAAATTTTCTTATGTTTAGTTTTTTTTTTAAAGTTATTATTATTAAAATATTTTTTATAAAAAAGTTATTTAAAAGTAATAATATACAAAAATATCAAACTTTATATGCCTGTATATATATATACAGTGCTCGAAGTGGAGAAAAATAAGTGGGATGGTATTCAAATGGTAATGGATGGTAATAAATAAATTCGGTAAGTTGGAAATACCATCCCGTCTAATCATTGTTATATATAGAGATTTATAAAAAGGAGTGGTGGGATGGTTTATACTTTATAAAAAGGTGACAGGATGGTATCCGGCTTCATCCTGCCTCACTTCGAGCACTGTATATATATATATATATATATATATATATATATATATATATATATATATATATATATATATATATATATATATATATATATATATATATATATATATATATATATATATATATATATATATATATATATATATATAATAAATATATATAATAAATATGTATATATTTAGTATATATTTTTGTTACAACAAAATTTTTTTTTTATGTTACCCAAGAAGTCCTTACGATCAATGTCAAATTTAAAAAAAAAAAAGAAGCTAAATTTACAACAATCACGGATTGTTCTTTGATTTTGATTTATGTTCTTTGAAAGAAAAAGTAGTTACTAAAGTTTATAATGTTAAATATTAGTTTCAATGTATTTGCGGTCCCTGAATTGAATGTATCTGGAATACTTCCAAATAAAAATAAAATGCTTTATTTATTTATTCATATATATAGAAAAAATATTTAACTACTTTTTAAATAGCTGTAGTACAATAAGAGCAATTTTATAAAAACTCACTCAAATTATTTTTATTTAAAAACGTTACAATTTGTGTTTATGAAAATACTATACATTAATTGTTGTAATTTAACAAAAATTTTATCAATATGAATATTTTTCTGTAATTTAAAATTGAACACAATTATTTCTCATAATAATCATTGGCTAACTTAAATAATTATATCTATATAATGACTGATATAATAAGTGATTTAAGTGACGTAACGATCAATTATTTTTTTCAATATTGACTTTGTTTTGTCACATTAGTTTTCTTTTTTTCATAAGCAAGGTTTTTGAGTCTTTAATTAACACTTAATCTCTCATTTGAATCTTATAACTTACTTTCTGATTATCAATACGGATTTCGACCTTCTCGTTTCACTGCTGAATTGTTAATGGTGATAACTGATAGGTTTTATCGTGCATTAGATTGATGTGAAAAGTCTAAGACTGTTGCTCTCAACATTTCTCAAGCTTTTGATAAAGTTTGGCAAGCTCGTCTTTGCCATAAGCTCTTTTCTTACAGTGTCATGCAACATCTTTAAGTTATTGAATCATTCCTTACCAATCTTAGTATAAAAGTTGTCCTTGATGGACAGCACTCTTCTTTATTTTCTGTAACTTCAGGGGTTCCTCTGAGCTTTAATATGATCTCACTTCTGCTACAGCATGGGTCTCTTAGTGGCTGATGAACTTTAACTCAGATAAAACTCAATTTCTTTTTGCGAACAATCGAAATCTTCCTATATTTATGAACAGTAATGTATTCAATGAAATATTTACCCTTTGTCTTCTAGGATTAACTCTTATTTCTGATCTTGGAAACCATATATTTAATCTGTTGCAAAATTAGCATCTGCTAAGATTGCATCTCTTTATTGTGCTCACCACTTTCTTACTCAGGATCCTATTCTTTATCTCTATAAATCTCAAATCCATCTTTGTATGAAATACTGTTGCCATATCTGGAGCGGATCTTCGAATGATGCCCTTTCTTTTTTGGACAAGGTACAAAAATGGATTGTAAACATAGTTAGACCTGCACTTCCAGCCGACCTTCAACTATTGTCTCATCATCATAATGTTGCTTCTGTTTATCTTTGCTATAAATCCTATAATGGGCGCTGCTCTAATGAGCTAGTGTCTTTTGTTACATCTACTAAAATTCATTCATGTGTTACTTGTCATTTAATTCTCATCTTTTTACTGTGACTGTTCCTAAGTGCTCCAAAAATTATTATTCATATAATTTTTTTCCTCGAACATCGGTTCTATGAAATTCGTTCCCTTCATCTTTATTTCCCGATACATATAATTTGCCATATTTTAAGTCTTCTGTTGATTCTTATCTTGCTTTATAAACTTCATCTTTTCTCTTTCAGTAACTTCCAACTCTTATAGTGGTTGCTTCTAGCCTTGTTGGAAGTAAAGATGTTTAAAAAAAAAAGAAACTTGAGGGCATAAAATTTTTTCAAACATTTGTAAATAAATCACCTGAGGTAAAAAAGTCAAAATAGTTTAAAGCAGATGAACCACCAGAAGATATTCCTCATCACAACATTACTCTATTCTTTATGTTAGACACAGGTATTTTTTCATGCTGATTAGAGTAGAGCTAATATCAATAATTATGACAGTTTATAATTTCTATTAGCTCAAATAGTCAGACCAAATAATATATTAAAATTTTCTTCTAACTTTGACAATGTGATATTTTAAAAAACTACATTAGTGAAACAAATCTAAACGATCTTCACTTTGGTCTTGAGATATACTTGGTCTGAATGTTTAAAAACCTACTTCTTGCACGATAAAAAACTTGCCCCATTTCAAAAATACTCTTTTGAATCAAGAATATTTGTTGGTTTCTTTAATCATTTTTCTAGCATTTTGAACAGATTCCACTGTAACAACAGGGCGACAAATGGATCTTTCTCATTCATGAATACTGCCTGTCTCCTTGTCAGTGCCTTCAATTTGCTAAAATATTTAAATCCTTTAACTTGCCAAATTTTAAATTGTTTTCTCATGAGGTACAGTGGTAAAATGATTTTTCCATTGCCTTCTAACCACTTTAAAATTCTCAAATTTCACAAATAAAAATTAATTTGAATTCTCTCTTTGATTAAAAGTTGTAAAGTCATGATTTTTTAATATATATCTATAATAATAATTAGACTATATATTTATTATTATTATTTATATATATTTTTGATAAGTATATTATGATAATTAGGAGTAATTTTAAATCAAAAACATGTATACAACGTGTGAAATACCCTCTGTGTGTGTGTGTATATATATATATATATATATATATATATATATATATATTATATATATATATATATATATATATATATATATGTATATATATGTATATATATATATATCAGGGCTGTGGAGTCGGAGTTGCGGAGTTGCGACAATTTTAGCGGAGTCAGAGTCGCTAAAAAATATAGCGACTCCGACTCCGATAGTAAAATTTCTTGGTATTGCACGTGCATGTACAAAACATTCAATTAACCTTATGTTCATACTAAACCTCAAAGTATGTTTCATAAATTTTTCAAAAAAAAAATTTCAACTTATCGCACAATATTTTTTAAAAAATTCGAAGAATTTTTCGAAAATTTTGCTTTGGAGTTGGATTAGGAGTCAGAGTCGGAGGTGTACTCAAAAAATTTCAACAACTGGAGTCGGAGTCGTTACTTTTTTTTTACGACTCCACACCCCTGATATATATATATAAATATATATATATATATATATATATATATATATATATATATATATATATATATATATATATATATATATATATATATATATATATATATATATATATCGAAATTAGGGTCAGCATTTGGCAATGTCAAACTAACTGCTGACCTAGAAGCGTTTTAGAAATAAGGTTGGCAATTTTCAGGTTTGCAAAAAATTGCCAACCTTATTTCTATGTTTTACGGATAAACATTTGTATCAAACTTTTTTTGCCAACCTGATACTGACCTCTTACAGATTAAGGTCGGCAAATATTGCTGACCTCATTTTCCTAATTCCAAGGGCTGTACATACATACATAAATACATACACCCTGCAGCTGGGGCTTTAGTAAATACATAAACTATCTTATAGCCTGCTGCTACATAGATTAAGTCTTTGGGATGGGGCAGCAATCTTTTTTTTCCCTTAATCTTTGTTTTTTTCATTTTTTTCTGAAAAAATAGAAAAAACAAAGTATGCTTTAAAGATAAGCAAAAACTAGTAAGCTATTGTTGATATATATATATATATATATATATATATATATATATATATATATTATATATATATATATATATATATATATATATATATATATATATATATTATATATATATATATATATATATATATATATATATATATATATATATATATATATATATATTTATCCAATAAACACTATCAGGTACTCCATGGCAGAGCCAGTAATACTATATTATCTACATAAAATAGATTGTTAATAGACATACCAGATAGTGATTCAGATTCTAGATACCTAGAGATAAAATTAACATTTTTTTTTTAGTACTGTTTTTATTATTTTTTTAGTATTTATTTTTTATTCTTTATTTTCGCTACTTATTTAGTGATCTTAACATATATGCAAATCTAAATTTTATTTTTAATTATTTTTCAAGTCATTGAAGGAAGAAAAAAAAATTACAGTGTGTAATTTATTTGAAGGAGAAATAAAATCTGGTTAGTATATTTTTTACTGCTATTTTACTTATTAAATGCTTTTGTTGTAAATACCACACTATGAATGAATAATTATTAAAATTTGTTTAAAGTATTTTAAACATTTATTAACTATATTTTAGTAAATTTAATATCAGTAGTTATTAATGTTTTAAATAATTAGTAATTAATGTTTAAATACTTTAAACAATTTTTAATTAATATTTACATTGCATAATATATTTACATATATTAAATCGTGTAGTATTTGTAAAATTAACAAAAAAATTTTTTTTGCGTCTCGTTTTTGAATTAAAAACAAAAGCATTTAATAAATGTATTAAATAAACTATACAAATAAAAAACATAATTATTTAATAAATGTATTCTCTATTATTTTGATTTTAAAATTTTGATTTTAATATTAGCAAACTGTTCATTAAACTTTTACTGAAGGTTTATTTTTAAAGTGATTTTAATATTAGCAAACTGTTCATTAAACTTTTACTGAAGGTTTATTTTTAAAGTGATTTTAATATTAGCAAACTGTTCATTTAACTTTTACTGAAGGTTTATTTTTAAAGTGATTTTAATATTAGCAAACTGTTCATTTAACTTTTACTGAAGGTTTATTTTTAAAGTGATTTTAATATTAGCAAACTGTTCATTTAACTTTTACTGAAGGTTTATTTTTAAAATGATTTTAATATTAGCAAACTGTTCATTTAACTTTTACTGAAGGTTTATTTTTAAAGTGATTTTAATATTAGCAAACTGTTCATTTAACTTTTACTGAAGGTTTATTTTTAAAGTGATTTTAATATTAGCAAACTGTTCATTTAACTTTTACTGAAGGTTTATTTTTAAAGTGATTTTAATATTAGCAAACTGTTCATTTAACTTTTACTGAAGGTTTATTTTTAAAGTTATTTTAAGGTTTTAAATTAAAGATAATTAAAGAAGAGAATATAAAAAAATTTTAAAATTATGTTTAATTACAGTAAACATAATTTTAAAAAATTTTATATATTTTTTTTATTATAAGCATATTATATTTAAAAAAAAAATTTTTTTTAATTATTAAGTATAATTAAAAAAATTATATTTAATAAATAAATTACATTAACTATGGGTTATTTTAAACAGATCTTAATAAAACTTTTATTAAGTTATTGTAATTGTTAATTTTATTATTTTAAAAGTCAAAAAGAATATTGAAAAGGAACAAAACTTTCTAAAAAATTTTTTTTCGTTTTCCACATGTAAAAGATCAAAAGATTATTGAAAAAATTAAATTTGCGCCATAGTTACGTTATTACGTTACCATAGTTACGTTATTACGTTATTACGACTGAAATTTTTTACTTTTGTTCATTTATTATCAAAAGCAGTTTACTCTTAATTGCCAAAAAATAAAAGCTAACTTTACTCTAAATGGATATTTTAAAATTGGTATCTTTGGAAATAGCTAATTTTTTATACATTCGGTTGTTATAAAATTTATAAAATTTCCAGTATATATATATATATATATATATATATATATATATATATATATATATATATATATATATATATATGTATATATATATGTATATATATATATATATATGCATATATATATATATATATATATATATATATATATATATATGTATATATATATGTATACATATATATATATATTATATATATATATATATATATATAATTTATATATATATATATGTATATATATATATATATATATATATATATATATATATTTATATATATATGTAAAAATAAAATTTTATATATATATAAATATATATAAATTTATATATATAAATATATATGAATAATTTATATATATAAATATATATAAATTTTATATATGTAAAAATAAAATTTTATATATATATATATATATAAAAATGCGCCCAAAAATTATTTTTATTTTTAAATTTTTCTTTTGCCTTTTTATAAAAAATAGAAAAAAAAAATTTATATATATATATATATATATATATATATATATATATATATATATATATATAATTTATATATATATATAATTTATATATATATATATATATATATATATATATATATATATATTTATATATATATATGTATGTATATATATATATTTATATAAATATATTTTTTTATATGTATATATATATATATATATATTTATATATATATATATATATTTTATATGTATATATATATATATATATATATATATATATAATATATATATATATATATATATATATATATATATAATATATATATATATATATATATATATATATATATAATGCCACTTATAAAGATTTAAAAACAGAAGTAGCAAAAGAAAATAGGTAGAAGTGTACATACTTTGACTGAAATAGGTAAGCATGCAAGGAGTGTACATTAGTGTACACTCCCAAAGTAAAATTTAACAGTAAATTTTGAAAAAACCGTCTAGTAAATTTTATTATTTTTTATCAAAAAGAAAGACAATGCTAATTGTTGAATAAAATGTAATAATCAAAATGTGTTTAAAACGTCATTTTATCACATGTTATATAGCTGTTGAAATATATACTTTATAAAATGTTTTTTTAATCTACTGACTATTCTTTTATACAACTTGAGATGTCTATTTTTTATCAGAAACTTAGGGTGTCTATTTTTTATCAGACCTTTTAATGACTCTAGATTATAGCATGTAAATTGTAGAATAAAAATTTAAAACTAAAACCAAATTCAAATTTGTAACATGAAAAAAAGATATCTGATTTTAGAGAGATAAAATAGTCTCTATTAAAAAATGGCAGCACTGTGGCTAAATTGGTGCAGCCAATATGACACCATGTGCAGCCAATAATGACACCATATGGGTGTCATTGAATGTAAATTGTAAAAATGTTTCTTTTTTTCTGATAAATTCCTAATAAAGCAAATCCTATTCTAAATAAAACAAATAAAATAAAACAGCAAAACAAACAATCCGTTTAAATTTCAAAAATAAACCATTTCTTTTCCATGTTTTCTTTCAACCATGTTTTATTAATAATAAATAAAATGATAAAAATAAAATCATGATTGTTTCACTTCTTATATGCCTTATATGTGATCGGTCTCTTTATAATTTAACAGGAAGAGCTTTTCCTCCTTTTGAAATTTTTATTTTGAGTTTGATTTACTGATTGCTTTGCTGTTTTAAATATAAGTTTGTCTCCAAAGACAGACATTTTTTGTCTTTTTTGACATAACAGAAACATATCCATCTCCTATTTTCTGAATGAGATCTTGCTTTTTAAAGATTTATTTTGTACCAAAATGTTTTTATTTAGTATTTTATTTATTATTTTATTTAAACTTTATAAATCAATACTCTAACAAATTGTTTAATTTTAACAAATTAACAGACGATTGGCGTAATTTATTGAGACTAATTTAAGTAAAAAAAATTTCAATTTGAAAAAAAATCTTTAAGTAAAAAAAATTTCAATTTGAGGCACTAACTACGTTATTTGCGAACAAGAGTAGAAATACCCTCAAAAAACGCCCCCCCCCCCCCCGCAGCCCTTTATTTAAAATAAAGTCCTTTTTTTTTTTTTTTTTTTTTTTTCAATACTTATCTTGAATTTTATCATAAATATAAATTAGGTTTCCAATTTTATCAAAATATATTCTGATGCTCAAAAGATACGGCTACATAAAGATCAGGACCTCTCATTTTTTGATTGTTTTAAATGTTTAGAAAAATGGTAAAAAAAAAAAAAGAAGATTTTTAATTTGTTTTCAACAGTTTCTATTTTATGTCACCCTGTTAAAAAGAGTGGTTTAAAAAAAGTAAAAATAACTTTAACTTAAAACTTCTAAAAAAGTGGCATGTTTTTTGATTTGTTAAACCTTGTTTTAAAGTTATGTGTAAACCTGATGCCGACCTCAAATAGTTTTAGGTCGCCAATAATTTACTGACCTTATTTTTCCTAACTCTGAGGGCTGTATATAGGGCAGATTAGGGTAATATGAGCACCTTGGTAATATGAGCATACTTAAAGATTTCTTAGAAGCAGTGAAGTTAAAGTTGCTTTGTATTTTTTGAATTGACTTTATGTGCTGATAACAGGAATCAGTACAATTAGCCTAAATTCATATGCAGTAATTAACGGCTATCAACTAATTAAAGCACTATTAAATTTTTTGCATTGTTAAAAAAATATTTTGGTGCTAAAATTAAAAAAAATTTCATAAAGAAAAATATGTTATTGCATAATATGAAGATGCTCAAATTATCCAGTGTTTTTCATTGAAATTACATAGTTTAAAGTCCTAAAATAGCAGTGCTTTTAATTGCTTTCTGAATAAAAACAAAGCATAGTAAAAAATTTTAACATTTCAACAATACTAATTATTTTTCTGTGATTTAAATTCAAAAAGATTGAATTTTTATTATTCAAAGGTTTGAGTTATTAAAATTGAAAAAATAACGAACTAATTTAAAAAATTTTTTTTTGCGGAAAACTTAGTAGTATTGTTTCAAAAATAAGTGGCTTAAAATTTGATTTTTTAATGATAAGTTTTGTTAATAACGAATCATTATATTCCAAAAATTATTTCTAATTCTTAGGTTGTTATTTTCTACTTAATATTATTTTTTTGAGCTAATTCAAAGTGCTTATATTATTTTTTTGAGCTAATTCAAAGTGCTTATATTATTTTTTTGAGCTAATTCAAAGTGCTTATATTATTTTTTTGAGCTAATTCAAAGTGCTTATATTATTTTTTTGAGCTAATTCAAAGTGCTTATATTATTTTTTTGAGCTAATTCAAAGTGCTTATATTATTTTTTTGAGCTAATTCAAAGTGCTTATATTATTTTTTTGAGCTAATTCAAAGTGCTTATATTATTTTTTTGAGCTAATTCAAAGTGCTTATATTATTTTTTTGAGCTAATTCAAAGTGCTTATATTATTTTTTTGAGCTAATTCAAAGTGCTTATATTATTTTTTTGAGCTAATTCAAAGTGCTTATATTATTTTTTTGAGCTAATTCAAAGTGCTTATATTATTTTTTTGAGCTAATTCAAAGTGCTTATATTATTTTTTTGAGCTAATTCAAAGTGCTTATATTATTTTTTTGAGCTAATTCAAAGTGCTTATATTATTTTTTTGAGCTAATTCAAAGTGCTTATATTATTTTTTTGAGCTAATTCAAAGTGCTTATATTACCAAGTTATATGAGCACTTTTTCTATTTTTTGAAAACATCTGTGATTTTAAATATCTAAGTGGATCATGAGTAGGGATCCCTTAAAGTTGTTTATTTGCAAAAATTTTGGATCCAACATAATTATTTTAGAAAATATTCCGATGTATATATATATATATATATATATATATATATATATATATATATATATATATATATATATATATATGTTTAATAAACTTAAATATATAAAAACTAAAATAAATTTTTTTTTTTTTTTTTTTTTTTTAGTTAGTGGTTTATATTGGCTTTCTTCATTCCAATTCTTTGTTGTTTATGCTTCTGTGAATGTAGCAGGTTCATCAACTGCAGCTATCGTAACAGTTCCTGTATGTAGTTTTCTTTACAAAGTTTATTTTGTATGAAAATTAAAAAAGAAATTTATGTTATTTATTTTTCTTTAGAACAATGATCCACCAATATTTCATTTACTTGAAGATATCTACTTTGGATTCAACAATGAAAGACTTTTATACTACTATTTTTCTTACTTATCAGAATGGTATTAGTTATTAACTTGAACTTATGAATTTGTCTCACTATTGAAACTTTTAAAATATATTTGTTAAATATTTAATAGGCAACTGATGATAACCATGTCAAGCAATAATATGGAAGCAGTACCAGTTGGTAATATCGAGAAAAAGGTTATTGAGTTTATTGCATTGTTTTTATATATAGACATACATAAGTACTAACCTTTGACACTAACATGGCAATGTGTAAAAATGTGGTTCAATATTTTTTCTAACTTTATGTAAATTTTTCAGTAGTTTTATATATATATATATATATATATATATATATATATATATATATATATATATATATATATATACATATATATATATATATATATATATATATATATATATATATATATATATATATATATATATATATATATATATATATGTATATATATATGTATATATATATATATATATATATATATATATATATATATATATATATATATATATATATATATATATATATATATATATGTATATATATATATATATATATATATATAACTATTATTACTTGCTATTATAAATTAGCTGTTCCGAATTTAAAACGGGTCATGTCTTTTCCAAAGTTAAGTTTATATATATATATATATATATATATATATATATATATATATATATATATATATATATATATATATATGTATATATATATGTATATATATATGTATATATATATATATATATATATATATATATATATATATATATATATATATATATATATATATATATATATATATATATATATATATGTATATATATATATATATATATATAACTATTATTACTTGCTATTATAAATTAGCTGTTCCGAATTTAAAACGGGTCATGTCTTTTCCAAAGTTAAGTTTAAGTCTATAGAAATATTTTATTTAAAGTGAAAATATAAATAATGGATTACGCATATCTTACACAGAACAACGAAAGCTTCATTCATTCTAGAATTCCTTTGTGCAGATTTAATCTCTAAGAAAGTTATAAGTGAATATGATTCTGCATATATAATTCTATTTAACTCATTTTTAGTAGTATCTTGGCTTTTAGTTAACAACAAAAAGACTGCATAAGTTATAATTTTTTAAAAAAAAGGTAACGACATAAAGACAACATAACATAAGTTATAATTTTTTTTTTTTTAAATCAGTTGTAACAACATCTACCACAAACAAATAGGCAAGTAATAGGATTGGATTTTTGAGTAGCAAGGATAAGTAGTCAATCTATTTATTGACTATTTATATAAGAGTCAAATCTATTTATTAACTTATTATTTAACAATATTATGCAATTATCATAATAACTAGATAGTAAAAATTTTACAAACAAGAGTAAAAATTACACAATCTCTACAATAGTAATAGCTCCTATCAAATAGATATTTTAACACTTTCATCACAGAAGAGTATAGACAGTTAAACACATTTTTATTTTACCAAAAAAAATTGTTCCTACCTTGCATAAAGTTTTCAATCATGAAAATAATTTAAAACTAATTTAAAACCATGTTTTATCAGTGGACTAACTGAAACCAAATAATGGCAAGTAGAGCTAAAAGAGAGAGAAAAAAATTAATATGTACATACAACACAAATTAAAATCATTAAAACATTTTTATCAAAACGTTTTTGTTTTAACATGTTCTTGACACAAATAATATGTAAACAACATTAAAAGATAATATTAAAAAAAAAAATGATAACATTAAAAAAATTATAAATCTTTTATATAATGTCCAAGACTATCATTATGAACAAATTGAGAATGGCAAAGTTTGAATACAAAAGATAAATTGAAATCTCTTGTAGGCAACTAAATTTGAGCAAAAAATACTTCTTTACCAATAGAAACAAGCGTTACTATTGGTAAACCTTTTAATTTTGAGCAAGAAATACCGCAAATAGAAACAAGCGTTTCTATTGGTGATATTATAAAACCTTTGCATTTCAATGTTATTATTTTGAATTAAATCTTTTATTAGAGATGGCATTGAGTAGCTAAACTTCAGAATGTAACTTGTACAACCAACTTTTAATTTTTTTTTTTATTATTATTATTGAGCACCGTGGATAAGCATTTGACCATTAAGTTCATGACTCCATCTTTATTAATGTTTATCTGACCAGTGCTGGCTTCAAACCTCTTACCTCTCAGTGTTGTGCCAGAATTTCAACTACTGCACCATGCACTATGGCTGCTCAAACCATAGTGCATTTTATGGCTGTTCAAAAATCTATCCTAATTAAGAAATAAAGCAAGAAAGAATATAATAAATGAAAAAATAAATATTGCTAAAATTTATAAAGAAATAAAATAAAAACTAATATAAAATGCATTGTTTTAATGAAAATATATATTTAAAAGTAAAGAAATACTGACTTATACTGCTTTGTTTAAACAATGATAAAACCCTTAATTATTGAAAATTTGAATATATTCTTAAAGAAAAAAAGTTATAAAGTTTACATAATGGTTAAACAAAGCTAAACTCCATCTCTTGAGCAGCTAAACAAAATAAACATAATAACTCATATTGTATATGCATAACTCACTGCTAGAATCATATAAAAGTTATAAGATACAAACCTTCATCTTCTTTAATTTAATCTCCATTTATTTCCTTGTTGTTTAATTTGTTCATTTATTTCTTTTAATAAAAAGGTTAAATAACAAAAATAAATAACAAAAAATAGCAGCTAAAAAAAAAGTTTGATGCAGAGAAAAAAAAATATTTATAAACTTTTTATATAAATGGTAAAAATAAATAAATAAAGGTTAAGGTATAAACAAATAACAAATGTAAAACAAAAAACAAACAACATTTACAAAGTTAGCTATAGATAACTTCATAAAAAAATAACAATTTAAAACAAATAACATTCACAATTGATGGGAAAAAAAAACTACTTAGAAATGCCACACTATAAAAAGTTTTTTTTACAGCATAAAAGAACAGAAAAACTAGCAATAGTAACTTAAATTGTACTATTCATGTAAAGAAAATAATACATTGCAACTTTTCACTTACATAAAATGTAATCAAAACATTGCCTGTGATTTGAATCATTATCATGTGTTATCATTTGAACATATGACAAATATAACATTTTAACATATAACAACCTCCTGAACATTTGAACATATAACTACCTCCTAAACATGTGAACATATGACTACCTCCTAAATATTTAAACATATAACAACCTGCTAAACATTTGAATATATAACAATCTCCTGAACATTTGAACATATAACAGCCTCCTAAACATTTAAAAATATGACAAATATAACATTTAAACATATAACAACCTCTTGAACATTTAAACATATAAAAACCTTCTGAACATTTGAACATATAATAACTCTCTAAACCTTGCACAGTGTACTTTATGAAATTTTACACTAAAGTTACAAAATAAGATTAAACTTGTAACTTATAACTATTCATTTTTAACAGTTTTAATGAAAAAACTATTAAGTTTGTCATTAAAACTGTTAAATTTTAAACATTGAAATATTAAAATTTTTTGTTTTTGTTTTGTAACTTACTGGAAAGGATTAATTTTTATCATTCATTTTATTTTTTGGTAAAAGAAAAATGAAAATAATATCAACAAAAAATTTTTTGTTGTTGGCATAATAGATATTCATTATACTATATCATCAGAAATAGTGCAAATCCGTGTAACTCACATTAGATAATACCACCAATCTGCACTACAGATTTTTTAGTGGGGTAGGTTAAACAATTTTTTATTTATAATTTCAACACACTTTGGGTTCATTTTAGCATTGAGAGTTTTATTAATGTTCTTTCTTATGTCAATAACTGATATTTGGTGTTAAAATTATTAATATCCAATTATTATAGCTAATGTTAGTTACGCGAATTTGCACTTTCCCCTTCGATATAATTCATTACATTATGTAAAAATTATTATGGCACAATTCATTTAACAGATCATTTGTCCGATAAAGACTCAAGTTTGCTGGACATGTCCGATAAAAATTAAAGAAGTGTGATCGAATGCCATTCCTGACCATGTATAAAATACTTTGTTTTTACAACGTGATGATGCAATTTTTACAACTTGATGATGCTATTTGATTTGACAACTCAAAATTTCATTCAAGGCCTTTCAAAATGTGCTGAAAATAAAAAGAAAATTTGTAAGACAAATAATCTAACAAAAATCTTAAAGAAAAAAAAAAAATCTAAGCTTAAAAAACTAAAATTTGAAAAGGAAAATATATTTTTATTACATTCTTATACTATGCAAAATACTTTGTAAATTATTAAATACATAAATATGTTAAATACATAAATTATGTAATTATTGAATACACAATTAAATATATAATAAAAATCCATAATAAAAATACAAAATTATTAAATACATAAATTACTATGTAAATATATTAAATACATGAATTGTTAAGTTTACTTATTACTTTATTAAATAAATTAAAAAATTAATTATAATTTATAATTTATTTAAATTATCAAAAAATATTATATGTAATTACATTTGTATAAATATATATTTTTTTATAAATCTTTTCAAACATTTTTTAGGATTAATTTTATAAACACTTTTAGTAGCAAAAATTTTAAGCGGGAAAACAAATGTTACAAAAGAACTCAAATTTAATAAAAAGTACTAGTTTCTATAAGCATTAAAATAACTATTACGTTAAAATTTTTATGAAATAAATTTAAAAGGGGTTTTAAAAGCTAAAATATTTGTTTGAAATTTATAAAAACCTTCAGACAAAAAATAAAATAAATTTAAATTAATAACTAATTGCAACGTTTCAATATAAATGATAAAAACAAGGCTACTTTAACGGCTAATTCAAACAAATGTAATGCTTTCGTGTCTTTTAAAAAATGAGTTAACTCAAAAAAATGACATGTTTTATTAACGTAGGTGTGTGTTTAACTTCAATTTTGTTTTGTATAAAAAATAAAAAGTTCAAAAAATAAAGTTTATATATAATACTGAATTTATTAATAATTTTAAAAAATTAATAAAAAATTATTTGAAAGTAAATGCACATAAAATATGTGTTAGACAAAATGACCAATAGATGTCGTTTTTTACTGTACAAATGCCAGATGTTTGATGTCTGGCGCTTATTTCGAGCACTATATATATATATATATATATATATATATATATATATATATATATATATATATATATACACACACATAATTAAATTATATATATATATATATATATATATATATATATATATATATATATATACACATAATTAAATTATATATATATATATATATATATATATATACACACACACACACACACACATAATTAAATTATATATATATATATATATATATATATATATATATATATATATATATATATATATATATATATATATATATATATATATATATATATATATATATATATATATATATATATATATATATACACACACACACACATAATTAAATTATATATATATATAAATATATTTATATGTTGCAATAAGTGGTGTAGGTGGATATTACAAGACTTTGGTCGAGCTGAAGTTCCGCTTTCAGATAAAAATGAAGATGCATTTGCAGTTGGTGTTGGTATTTCTCTAAATTCAAAACTTACTATTCAGCAAGGTAATATTTTGATAACCATAATGGTAATAATTATAATTATTGTAATGACATCGGTTGGGAAGGAGGCGTGAATTTCCTATGAAATGCACTTCTGCGGTGCTCCATGATAAGACTGTAAGGACTTCTTGGGTACCTTAAAAAAAAAAGAGCAGCGGTAGCGCACTTGTCTCAGAAGCAAAGGATCCTTTGTTCAAACCCCACCTCTAGACAAGTTTTGCGACATCGGTTAGGAAGGAGGCTTGAACTTCCAATTAAATGCTTATCCACCATGCTCTATGATAAGACCGTAAGGACTTCTTGGGGTACCTAAATAAAAAAAAAAAAAAAAGATAAATAAACATTTAGTAAAAATGTAAATAAATATCTTTAAGTATCACTGTGCTAGTAATGTTTTAGTATGACTTATTTTCAGGGATGCAGAGTCCCAAAAAAAACTTTAAATTTGAAAGTCACAAAATGGTAGTTCCTTACTGGATTTTGGTATTTAGGAGAACCAAAAATGTAAAGAGGCTCATAGGCGACTTTTTGAAAAAATTAAGACGTTTAGTTTGGAAGAACAATCATTTATGAACCCTGAGTCATTATGTAAAATGGCAGCCTCTGAGACTACTGGCTAAAAAACAATATGTTCCAAGTCATTCTAATTTTTTTTTCTTATTACAGATAGTCACTTAGCATTTTTAGAGCTACTGCACATCAAAGACCAGAAAAATAGAACCAAAACAAATAAAACCTAAAAAAATCAAATCAAAGTCCATTTGGAACACTGCATCCCTGCTTATTTTCATTCATTCAGTAAATGTTATTAAAAGTCTTTCAAGTTATTGCAAAGCATGTTTTTTGTTTTTTTAAATATAATTTTTTTTTCAATTTTATAATACTTTTAAGATGACAAAGAAATTCCTGCATCCCCTGTGTTTTTTATGCTTTCAACTGATGGAGTTTTATGTGCTTATCAGATGGTTAATCAATTTTCTGGTACAAACTACCAAATCGTAAATCCTCCGAAATTTGTACCACAAGGTGCAGCTAAACAAGGCAATATTAGTAAAGTCTCTTCAAAATCTCCCCATATAAATTTTTGGTCACAGCAAACTTCATTAAACCCTGTCAACAATTTTGGTTCAGTAACTACATTAAGCTCACCCTTTAATAAAAACACTAATTTTTCTGTGCCACCATCAACAACAGCAAATTCATTATCTGTTTCCTTTGATTTTACGGGAGGAAAAAGCAGTGCTCCAGAACAGAAGACTTTGAATCTTAATAAAAATACTTCTACTCTTGGACCATTAGTATCAACTACTGGCTCAAGTTTTTCGTATAATGATAAATTGTCAGTTGAGTCTAAATCATCAAATGATATATCAAGAAAAGTTAGTGGTAAAAAGCAAGCAAATGTGTCTTTTAATCTTGCAACAAGTTCAACTGATCAAGTTGCAAGCATTCCCACTGTTCCTTTCTCTTTTTCATTGCAAAATAATTCTAGTTCATCTGAAAATTTCACATTAGTCTCTTCAGCAACTTCAGCTCCTTTTACAAGTCGAGTTGAGACAATGCCATCAACTCCAGTATCACAAAACAAACAACTAAAAAGTTTTCAATTTACATCCGATTCTTTTGATAAGAAGCCTTCAACAGATCAAATTGAAAAATCAAAAAACTCATTTATATCTAACAATTCTAAACTTGCATATGATGATATGGAAATAAAAATTTATTCTGATAAACTTGAAAGTGCTCTTCAAAAGAACATATCTGAAGAGTTGAAAAGCTTTAATAATGAAATGGAAAAGTTTTTAAATTCGGTTTCAGATATTAATAATCACAAAGATTTAATTGGTACTCAAATTGAACTTCAGCAAATTAGAAAAAGTGTTGAAGATGTGGAACATTTAGTGAATAAGTATAAATCATGTATGGCAGAGAACAAGAAAGAAAGTTGTGAGTTGCGCAATATTTTGCTAATCAATTTTAAAAATGCTGATGATGCCAAGCTGCAGAAAGAAAAAATGGAAGATAAACGTTTTTCTATAATTTTAAAGTCTCGACCACTCGACCCTGTATCTAGTCGTCAGCAAAAGATTATTCGTGACCAAATGAATGAAATTACAGAGCGGATAATAGATGTAAATATTGCTTTAGATGAAGAATGGAAAAAAATTGAAATGAAGAAAAGAAACATTCACAATAAAAATTCCAGTATTTTACAAAATCAGCAGGTTTACAAAACTGTTGATGCCATTGACCAGATTGCTTCAAATCTTTCAAATCGGTTAAAAACACTTAAAATGAAATCAGAAAGTAATGATCTCTTGTTAATTAGTAAGAATCAAACATTACATGAAGATTCTGCCAATGAAAAAAAGTTATCTTATAACTTTAATAATTCTAATTTAACTTCACAGACAAAAAATATTTCACATTTAAGAAACTACCTCAGCAGGAGATCTAAAACGCCGCTTCATAAGTCAAAACTTTGCAATGCACTACTACCTGATGATCTAAGTAATACTGCTTGTATGTCATTGAATGAAAATATTTATCCTAAAGCAGCATCCACACCTTTTTTTGCTATTGATAATTCAAAGCAGATTGTTACTTCAGTATCAGCAGTGTTGGAAGAAAAATATGAAAATAAATTTAATAGTCCTAAAGCTTGTGTACCAGATAATCAAAAAAATAACTCAACACTCATTGTGACTAAAAAGCTTTTTGTCGAATCTCCTACCGCAACATCATCATCTCCTATTGCAACAAAACTCACTCTTGAAAAGCATGAGAATCAAAAAGAAAATTTAGTGGCTTCTGCAAAATTAGTTTCAGCTTCAGTTCAAAATAAAAATGAGTTATTTTTAAAAACATTTGACACTAAGAAACCTGATATATCATCTTCAAATACAACTTTTGTTAATAAACTAAATGTTTTTACAACTTTTAATACTTTAGAGACCACTGTTTCTGACCGTATATTCAAATCAAGTTCCTCAACTTCGAACACTTCAAGCGTGTTAGGCTCAGGATTATTTGTTTCCACACCAGTGTCATCTGATGAATCAATAGAATCTCTTTCAACTACAAAAGAATTATCAAGTAACAAAACAAATTTTAAACAAAATACAAACTCAACTTTTTTTTCAAATGAACAAGTTAGTTCATCTGTAAAAGTAGTTCCTTCTGTTAATTCTGCCACTACAGCACCTAAAAGTTTTTTGGGTAATACTATTGCTTCTACAAATCTCGAATCTTTTGGTTCTACAAAAGTTTTACCAGCATTTTCCGGTTTTGGTTTAAGCAATAAGATAACAGAAGTTTCAACAAATTCTACTGGGGGTACATTATTTGTTTCATCAACTAACGGATTATCTGCTTCTACTTCAAATAGCAGTTTGTTATCTACTACTAACATGGCAACTTCATTTAGTTCAAATGATCCATCAATAAGTGGATTGTTTGCTTTCATGGTGAAAACTGAATCACCAGCTAGTTCAATTGTTTCTAATTCTGCTATAACTTCTGTAAGTGGATTAAGTACAACTTCGATATCAGCCGAAACTGCTAATAGCTTTTTTGTTACTAACCCTGCATCAACCTCTAGTTTATTTGGGTCTAATGTTCCATTATTTAGTTTTACTTCATCAGCTGGAAACACTGGTAGTTTGTTTAGTTCTAATGCTACATCAATATCTGGAGGTTTATTTGGATCTAATGTTTCATCAACAGATAATATACTCGCTACCTCTGCAGCGAAAACTGTATCTTCGGGCAATTTATTTAGTTCTAATGCTACAACAACTAGCTTATTTGGCTCTAATATTTCAACAACATCTAATATTCCAGTTGGTTTATCCAGTGCTAAAGTTGTAACAACTGTATCATCAGGTAGTTTATTCAGTTTTACTGCTACAACAACTTTAGGAGGCGGATTATTTGGATCTAATGTTCCATCAGCTACTACATCAAACACTACACAAAGTGGACTGTTTGGATCTAGTATTCCATCAGCAGCTGGGGTACTTAGTGCTTCTTCAGTAACAACTGCATCATCAGGTAGTTTGTTTAGTTCTAATACTGCAGCAACAGTATCAGGGGGATTGTTTGGAAGTAATAGCACTTCAATAAATGGATTATTTAGTGCTACTGCAGTAACATCTGTATCTTCGAGTAGTTTTTTTAGTTCTAATACTGCAACAACTTCGACAGGTGGATTGTTTGGATCTATTACTTCATCAACAAATAGCTTGTTTGGTTCCTCAACAGGAACTAGTTCTTCAGGTTTGTTTAGTTTTAATGCAGCAACAACTTGTTCTTCAGGAGGTTTATTTAGTTCTACAACTTCTAAAGATTCTATAGGGGGTTTGTTTGGTTCTAATCCAAATGTAACTTCTTCAGGAGGTTTGTTTAGCAATTTAGCAGGGTCTTCTGGTGGTTTTTTCAGTTCACCAACAAAAAGTAGTTTTTTTGGTTCTGCCAATTCAAGTACCAATGCAACTAGTGTGTCTGGTGGTTTGTTTGGATCTTCAAATCAATCATCTGGACTCTTTAATACTCCAACCAGTGATTCAAAGGGTTTCTTTAGTACACCTTCAAGTCAAAACAATATTTTTGGCAGTAAAACTTCAGAATCTTTGGATAGTTCTATGTCAAATAAAGGTATCATTTATTTATATGCTCAATTATAATTGCATTTATATGAATGTATGTATGTATATATATATATATATATATATATATATATATATATATATATATATATGTATGTATGTATGTATGTATGTATGTATGTATGTATGTATGTATGTATGTATGTATGTATATATATGTATGTATATGTATATATATATATATATATATATATATATATATATATATATATATATATATATATATATATATATATATATATATATATATATATATATATATAAACAATTTTATAATGTATTTTACAAAATAGAGTGCTTGATGTTCTTAAAAAAACAGAGCAATATTAAATAAGTAGAAAATCACTTAACAAAAAAAGACTTATCAGAAATCTGATGAGTCTTTTTTCAAATCTGATGAAACACAGTGTTTTATAAAAAAAATTTTGTTAAGTGATTTTCTACTAATTTATTTATTTAATTTATATATGTATATGTGTGTGTATATACATTATTGGACAAACTCAATTTTAGAACAAAAGTTGATCAAAAACTTAAAAAAAATAGTTCATATTAATTTTTAAGTAGTTTAATATGTTGTTAACAAAATATAAAACTTTTGAATCATATTAAAAATCAACAAAAAAGTTTAATAACACATTTTCCTTAACAAACTATATTTTTCTTTCGACAAAACAAGGTGGACATTCAAAAAATCGACTAAAAATCCAAAAAAATTCAAAAATTAACTTATTATTTTTCAAAATACTTCAGAAATTAACTTAATATTTGGTAGGACCTCCTTTACTTTTAATTACTGCTTTCATTCTTCGTGGCATAGACTCAATTAATGAGTCAAAAATTCTCATGTCAATCGCTCGCCAGGCCTTCTCGATTTGTTCAAATAATTCCTCACTGGTCTTTATATTTCCACGCTCAATCTTATTGTCACTTATTTCCCAGAAATTTTCTATGGGATTCAAGTCAGGGCTTTTTGCAGGCCACTCCATTATGGTGATATTCTTGTCCTTGAACCATTGTTTTACAAATTTTGATATATGTTCCGGGTCATTGTCCTGTTGAAAATCCTATTTAGGGGCATCTCTCATTCAGCATGTGGTAACATAACATCTTCCATTATATCTTTGTACACAAAGCGGTCCATAATTCCATTAATTTTGCAAATAGGACCAGTTTCTAGTGCTGAGAAACATCACCAAACCATAGCAGGCGTTCCATGCTTAACACTCTTCTTGGTATATTTAGTATTGTATCTGGTGTTCTTTGGTCCCCAGACTCGCTTCTTGTTGTTGCTCCTATAAAAGTTATATTTTGATTCATCACTAAAAAGTATGTTTTTCCACTGGTTTACAGTCCAATTTTGGTGAGCTTTGGCAAATGGAAGTTTTAACATTCTATTTTTAAAAGAAGTCAGTGGTTTTTTGGCAGGCATTAGAGAAAACAATTTTGCTTCATTGGCTCTTCCTCGCACAGTGCAATTGGAGATTTGTAGTTTTTCTGTTAATTTTGTACATGACAAAAATGGATCTTTTTAAAGCTCTTTAACAATTCTTCAATCTAGTCTTTGTGATGTTTTCCTCGGACGTCCGCCCAATGGTTTGTTTTATAGCAGTCACGAGATCCAAATGATTTAACACTTTTACTTACAGTCGATTTAGCTAAATTATATTTTCTACAAATTTCAGCTTGACGTATTCCGCTTTTAAAATCTTTCATAATATTTTACTAAAATAATTCTTAATATTAAATCTTTAATAATATTTTTTTTTCCGCGATATATCACAAGTTAAATCTATTTTAGTTTAATTGAAAAAATAACTGGTGTTTGATCCAAATTGACATTCCAAAATCGATTTTATTATTTTAGAGTACTGCTATGATAATAGTGAAAACAAAAGAATCCGGTAAATTGAATAAAGACAACGAAATCTTATAAAAAAAGCATCGTTTTGATTTGTCCACCTTGTTTTGTCCAAAGAAAAATGTTTTTTTTTTGTGATTCTAAGTATGATTTAAACATTTATAAATTTATATATATATATATATATATATATATATATATATATATATATATATATATATATATATATATATATATATATATATATATATAACTTTTCTGTATACTGCTTTGTTTATATATAAATAAACAAAACAGTATACAGAAAACACAAAGGTTGTTCAACTAGTCATCATTATCGACCCTCTCTGTGAATCAGGCTCCAATGAAGCTTTTGTACCAAATAGGCCAGATGGACTGATTCTTATATAGTCTAATAATATTGGTTTTCTAAACTCTCTAGGGTAAGGAACAATAAAAATGTAAAATTGTTAGATTCGCATTTTAAAAAAATGTAAAAAAAGCTCAAATTTTAAAAAATTAGGAAATTGAGATTTTACATAAAGCTGAAATCGACCTCAGAAAATTTTTTTAGTCATATATATGAACTCAGTAGATATAAAGAAATGGGAAAAACTTGTGTGCAAAAAATATTTTTGGGACACCCTAATATACATATATATAATATATAATATATACACCCTAATATATATATATATATATATATATATATATATATATATATATATATATATATATATATATATATATATATATATATATATATATATATATATACACACCCACACAGAGGCCATTCTAGACCATTTTTAACAGCGTTGACAGTATATAAGCAGCGATTTGGTTGCCGGCCAAATTAAAAATTAAAGAACCTTTTTTTTTAAAGGCAAGTATTGTTGATTTCAAGAAAAATTGCAGATATTCGGCAATATTTCCACTAAATTTCTTTGAGGGAGGGGGTACCCTACCCATTTTTTTTTTCTAGAATAGCCCCTGATATATACATAAGTGGAATAAGTGCGAACTGGCATAAGTGTGAAGCGTTGCAAAAACTGGCATAAGTGCGAACTGGCATAAGTGTGAAGCGTTGCATAAACTGGCATAAGTGTGAAGCATTGCAAAAACTGGCATATGTGCGAACTGGCATAAGTGTGAAGCGTTGCAAAAACTGGAATAAGTGCGAACTGGCATAAGTGTGAAGCGTTGCAAAAACTGGCATATGTGCGAACTGGCATAAGTGTGAAGCGTTGCAAAAACTGGCATAAGTGCGAACTGGCATAAGTGTGAAGCGTTGCAAAAACTGGCATAAGTGCGAACTGGCATATGTGCGAACTGGCATAATGCGCCAAAACATTTTGCAAACATTGGCATAAATGCGAAATAGCAAAAGTGCGAACTGGCATAAGTGCGAAGCAGTTGCAAAAACTGGCACAAGTGCGAACTGGCATAATTGCGAGTTGGCATATATGCGAACTGGCATAAGTGCGAATCAGTTACAAAAACTGGCATAAGTGCGAATTGGCATAAGTGTGTCAAATAAATATTCAAATATTGGCATATTTAGTATTTCGCACTTATGCCAGTTTGCACTTATGCCAATGTTTGCAAATTTATTTGGTGCACTTATGAAAATTTCCACTTAATCTGTTTTAAAAGACTGTTTAAAATAAACTTATTGAAAAAAGTTTTTGAAAAGCACTAGGAAAACAAATCTTTCATTTGAATTCTATATATAATAATTAAAATAAAAATAGCGTAAAAATAAAAAATGTTTTATATAAATATTAAACAAAGTATTTAAAATAAGAAAAGGCAAACATTTTATTTAAAATTTAAATAAAATAATTTAAAAAATCAGGCAAAACGAATGTTTTATTTAATTCTAAATAAAATAATGAAAAATAAAAACTGGCAAAAAAAAAATGTTTCATATAAACACTTTTTTTTTCGCTTTTTTTTTTTTTTAACTTTTTTCCTAGTTTAAGTTTAGCTTTGCGTTTCTACATTCAGCACATTTCTGAAATGTTTAAATCATCAAAACATATATAATCGTGGTCAAGTTGTCAAGAAATAAAATCATTTGCGTGGTCAGCAATAGCGCTCAATCGCATTCCATTCCTGTCCAAGCCTGATATATATATATATATATATATATATATATATATATATATATATATATATATATATATATATATATATATATATATATATATATATAATAATTACATTAAGAATGGCAAAACAAATAATTCTAAATATAATAATTCAAACATAAAAGTATTTTTACAATTTTTCATAAAAGTATTTGATGAACAAAAAAGATAACTTACAGTTTTAAAAAAAGATTCTTTGCAGTTTTAAAAAAATGCTTTTTTTTTGTTTTTTGGCAAGTTTTTTATGTGCTTACCAAAGTTTATATATATATATATATACATCACGCTCAAGCCAAAGTTGCGAGTGCGAAATGGCTTGAACACAAAAGTGTTGGCTAAACATAGAAGACTAATATATACATCGTCAGGGATAGTGCAAAACCATGTAACTAGCATTGTATAATACTGCATATCTACACTACAGATTTTTTTATGGGAGAAGGTTAAAATGTTATATATTTTTTATTTCAACAGATTTTGGGTTCATTTTAATATAAAGAATATTATTTATGTTTTTTTTAATGTTATCAATAAATATTTGGTGTTAAAACTATTAATATCCAAATATAGTAGCCAATGCTAGTTACATCGGTTTGCACTTTTCCTGACACTATTTGTGTGTGTGTGTGTGTGTGTGTGTACATATATATATTTATATATATATATATATATATATATATATATATATATATATGTATATATATATATATATATATATATATATATATATATATATATATATATATATATATATATATATATATATATATATATATATATATATATATATATGAATTTTTGATTTCTTATATCCCATTATATCCTAATCTAGCTTACATATATATATAGAGAGAGAAAGATCACCTCCATTTCCTGTAACTTCTTGGGTACTTCAAGGTTCCAGTCTTGATTTTGTGTTATTTTTCATTTGTAGTAGTAATCTTTCTTATATTTTTATTTCTATGGTGGCTGATGACACAACTACATACTCCAGTATGTAGTTGTGTCATCAGTCTAATCTTAACTGGGCTGATGACACAACTACATACTCCAGTATGAAGTTGTGTTATCAGCCCAGTTAAGATTGACTCCCTTAATCAAATTGACTAATCAATTTAATTAAGGGAGTCAATCTTAACTGGGATCTCTTTTCTTTGGCCTAGGGCTTGCAATAGCTGGTGAGTTTGAACCAAATTCAGTAATTTATTGCTAATAAACACAATATTGTTGTTACATAAAATTTTGTTGATAACAGCACTCTTAGTTACTTTATGTGTTTTTAAATTATTTTTAATTAGTTCTCATGGAAACCATAAGTGCATTTCAAAGTTTGCATTTGCTAAGGTTTCCTCTTTAATCTGTCATTTTAAAATTAACATCACTATAAAAGTCTATTTGTCTTTGTTTAAAATACTGTTGTCATATTTGGACTGGTTATTGTAATGGTGTCATTTCTCATTGTAATGATGTCATTTCTTATTACAATTCATTAAATTTTATTAAAATTCATTAAATTTAATAAAATTGTGGGTTTCAAACACCCACAATTTAAATATTCTTTTTTCTCCCACTTATATAGTGATTGCTATTAGGCAACCACTATATAAGGAGGTATATTGCAGTCTTCTTGAGTGTGAGTTAATTAAAAAGAATACTAAAGTTTAAAAAAAAATGCAAATTTTATTTTTTAAATTGCAATAAACTTAAATTAATTATTAAACTAAAAAACAATAATTAAAACAATGAAGAACTTCTGAATTCTGAATTTTTCTATCTGAATTCAATTGCTTTCATGCAAATCTCAAAAGATATTTTTAAACAATTCAAAAAAAAAAACTTATTCAAAAGTTGCTTTAAATGCTCATTTAAATAAATTTGGTGATATGTAAGTTGATACTTAGTATTTGGTGATATGTAAGTTGATTCTTAATATTTTTATATTGACTAAATATTTTCAGTTAAGAGATCAGTTTATGATATGGTGATCTCAATTAAATTGAAATTGCATTGAATGTTCTGTCATCCGTTCCTTTGCTCTATAACTCCTTGTTAGCTTTGCTCTATAAGCCTTGTTAGGATTGAATCAGAAAAAAAAAGGATTATTTATTTCTACCTAACATTATTATTGTCTGATTTTATCATTTAATGATTTTTAATTTTTTGAATAATCTCTCTTTTTAATCTGTGTTTTTGTCTAATGTATTTTCTTTTAATCTGATATATTTTTGTTGCATGTTTGTTTTATTGTTGTGGAATTATTCAGTTTACTGAACATTTACTTATCTCTTTAATCTATAGGAACATGACTAACAGATACTTTTGTGAGAAAAATCTCAACCTCCTTTTTGACAACCTCCTTTTTGACAACCTCCTTTTTGACAAAACCATTTGGAATATTTCTCAGTTGCAAATCTTTTGGTGTACATTTTTTATCAATAACATAAACATTAGCTTTCTCACTCTAAATTACTTTTTACATAGATCCATGAATGATGATCAAATGGTATTTTTTATCCTAATGTAAATTCAAAAGTTTTGAAATTCGAAAACCCTTTAGTATTTTAATATAAGTTCCAAATTCCTTATGCAGCAATCTTTGTTTTACATTCACAGCAATCTTTGTTTCACTTTTTTTTTTTTAATTCTAAATAAAATAACTGAAACAAAAACATCAACAAAAAAAAATTTATTAAATTTTTCTAATTAAAATAATGACAAAGAATACAGCAAAACAAATGTTTTATTTAAATTCTTAATAATATAATTAAAGTAAAAATGAAAAAACGAACAAATTATTTAAGTTCAAAATAAAATAATTCAAATATAAAAAGTTATCACAATTTTTTCATTAAAGTATTTGATGAAATAAAAAGATCTGTTGCAATCTAAAAAATGCTTGTATATTTTCGGCAAGGATTTTTTTAAGCTCTTGCCAAATTGTGTGTGGAAGTGCAAAAGTGCTGGTCAAACAGAGATGACTAATAAATATATGTATATATATATATATATATATATATATATATATATATATATATATATATATATATTTGTTTATATATGTATATACATATATACATCTATATATACATATATGTATATATATGTATATATATATGTATGTATATGTATGTATGTATATATATGTATATATATATATATGTATATATATGTATGTATATATATATATATATGTATATATATGTGTGTATATATGTATATATGTATAAACAGTGGTGGAAAAAATAATAAATACATTATCTAAACAATTAGGTTAATTTCAAATGGTTAATTTGATCATATATTTGAAAAAATCAAGAAAATTCAATGTTTTTAAAACAAATATTTAACAAAGTTAATTAAAAACAATTAAGAACAAAAATAAACTTTTTCTTTTTTTCTGAAAAAGGTTTTACACAATATTTACACAAATTACCTAATATTTTTTTGCATGCCCTTTATTTTTTTTTAACTTCAATTAGTCTTTTAGGCTGTTGACCAATTTATGGCATGTTGATAGTGGAATAGTGTACCATGATATTTTCACAGCCTCCCACAGATCACTTTGGTTTCGAGGTTATTGTATAGCAACCTCATCCTTTACAATTTTCCATAAATTTTCTCTTGGATTTAAATCTGGCGATTGTACTGGCCAGTCCAATTGTCGTATACCATTATTTTGGAACCATCTTTTTGTGATAGAAGCTGTATGTTTTAATTTGTTATTTTATTGAAACATACAGAGCAGCAGCATGTTATCCTCAGCATAAGGAATCATTATTTCTTCAAAGTATATTAGTAAAAATATCAGCTGTCATAGTGTCTGTTCTTAAATAGATAGGACCAATACCAGATGACAATGAGGAATCATTATTTCTTCAAAGTATATTAGTATAAATATCAGCTGTCATAGTGTCTGTTCTTAAATAGATAGGACCAATACCAGATGACAATGAGGAATCATTATTTCTTTAAGTATATTAGTATAAATATCAGCTGTCATAGTGTCTGTTATTAAATAGATAGGACCAATACCAGATGACGAGAAACATCCCCACACCATAATGCTTCTTTTGTTGTTTTTTCAATAAAGGCTTCTAGGTGATCTTGAAAACAAATTAGCTTTAACTAAACGTCCTCTAATTGTTTGTGCTGTTACATTTAACTCTAAATTTTTTTTAATGGTGTTGCTGGAGATATATATATATTTTTTAGCTTCACAAATCATTAATTTATCTTCTCTGTAATTTGTTTTTTTTTTTGCGACCGCTAGTTTCCATACATATTTTTGGTTCAAGAGCGTTTTGAACCATTCCAACAGAACGTTTACTTATTTTTGAAATCTCTCTATAAAACTTTCCACTACTTTTAAGCCAATTACTTTTAAGTCAATTACTAAGAGCTCAGCTGAGGTGCAATGTGACTTTCTACCCATATTATCCTACGTTTGAACTGTTGTATGAATTAATTTACTAATATACATACAAATATCACCATATCATATTTTAAATATTGAAAATGCTTACATATTAAAAGTAAGTGGCAATACTTTTAACTTCAGGAATATTTTTTACTCTAATTGTAATTAATTACCTGAAATGATATTAATATAATATACTAGAAAACTGTAAATAATTAACTGAACATAGATAAAAAACTTATTTAACATATTATGTTTTAAAATATAATGTAAAATATTATTCATTTTTGGAGGGTCATATCAGTTTGAGGGGAGGTGACTAAAACAGCCAGGATTGGAGATTTGAAGGGGAAGGGTGAGGAAAGTGACCCTCCTCTTAAATAAATATGGGGGAAGGGGCTATTACCCCCACCAAATCCTCTTCCTAAGAGCTATTAATAATAGCCGGAGTCAAACACATATTTGAAAAGTAATAACAGTTAAAAATTAAAGAAAACAAGATTAATCATTACTGTATTTATTATTTTTTCCAGTAAATTTACTTTAAACAAAATTGTTAGTAACATTAGAAAAATTGTAAAAAAATTCACAATTTTTTAAAAAATATAATTTTCAACAATAAAGTTAATAAAAACAAAAATTAATATCAGTTAACATCAATTGCTGTGAATAAAATGCATTTTTTATTATTTTTCCACCACTGTATGTATATACATATATATATGTATATATATGTATATATATATATATATATATATATATATATATATATATATATATATATATATAATATATATATATATATATATATATATATATATATATATATATATATATATATATATATATATATATACATATGTGGATTTTTTTTATTCATTGAACAAACTTTCCTAATAAACAATCAGTTAAACCATATAAGATATATCTTTTCACATAATAGTTACCGTTTTAAAAGTCCTTAACCTTTTGTTAAACATTTTATTATTATTTTTTATTCTATTTTTTGTGCTATTGCCTATTTTGTCATAATCATAAAAAAATTGTAATTTATATTTAATTACCGAAGAATATTTGTGTATAAAAATTAAATAAGTTTTCAAACCCTACTGACTACTCAACTAACTTATAGTCATCTATAAGTTAGTTGAAACATGTATTGTTTTATTTGTTAAAAAGTTTTGGTTTTTATTGATAAGTGGGAAAAATTTGTAAAATTATTTTACCTATTTTATAAAAGAAATTTTGGATATATATATATATATATATATATATATATATATATATATATATATATATATATATATATATATATATATATAAATATATATATATATATATATATATATATATATATATATATATATATATATATATATACATTATTGAGTTATAACATAAATGTTGTGAGAAAAAGGTATGTGGCTGTTCTAATTATAAGCTTCATGCCAGTGAAAACAACATGAGCTATTTAAAGAATATTTATTTGTTTCAACAGGAGATGTTGGGACTTTTGGTGGATTTGGTCTTGGAGGCAAACCTATGAGTGACCCAAATAAAAATCCATTTGGTGTTGTTACATCTACCTCAGTGCAAAGTAAGTTAAATAATTAATAGTTCTTCTGTAGTAGCATTGTTCTATACTAAGATTTCTCATTAAATTTTTAGGTTCAAATATTTTTGGAAATTCTTCAGGCTCTTCAGGATCAAATATTTTTGGGAGTGCATCATCAGGTGCATCATCAGGAGCAAACATATTTGGAAATTCATCAGGTTCTTCAGGAGCAAGCTTATTTGGTCAAGTATGACATAAAATTATATTTTTTGCATATATATATATATATATTGTATATAAATAAAAAATTGCTAATTAAAAACGCTTTTTTATTATATATATATATATATATATATATATATATATATATATATATATATATATATATATATATATATATACATATATATATACATATATATATATATACACACACACACACATATATATATATATATATATATATATATATATATATATATATATATATATATATATATATATATATATATATATATATATATATATGTATATATATATATATATATATATATATATATATATATATATATATATATATATATATATATATATATATATATATATATATATATAACTTTCAGAAAAACCATTATTATCTGAACATTTTCTGTAAAAAAAATTAGAGATATACTTTATTAAAATTAATTTTTACAATTTTTATGTAATAGTTGACAAATAGTGTCATATTTTCAGAATAAAACTTTAAATCTAAATTGTATGAGTCAGAAAAAGAGAGATTTTTATGTCAACATGTCACCAATGTTAAAAGAAAAAAAGTAGGTGAATAAAAGTTAGAACACACATTTGCAATGCGTTTTTGAACCCTTTCTAAAAGAGAAAGGGTCATGTTAAAGTAATCACTTCAAAAATGAAAAAAGTATTACACACAACAAACCAAAAAAAGAGATTTGTAGTGTTGGGTCATAATCATGAAAGATAATCAAGTGAAAGAAAATGAACAGCACAAAGAGAGCCAACCATAGCAGATAAATAAAAGAGAATGAAACTTTATTGTACCCTAGAAGTTTCTGGAAATAAAAGAGAATATTGAGTGTGAAAGGCAAATTTTTTACTGTGGTTAGAAAGGAATCTTTTTTTTTTCTCTAATAAATAATATTCAAAATAGTTTTGGATAGAAAAAAGAACAATAAAAAGCAAGATTTTGTCAGGTCAGGAGTTTGGTCTTCATGATCATCCTGCTACTGGTAACATGTAACCCAGTGCAACCTGTTCCATGTTCTGCTGCCTTGCAGGATTTGCTTTCTAGACAAAGGCTGGAAGGAGTGTGCTTCCTGTCATCAGTACTATCTTATATCAGTCATGCTTATAGTAATATATATATTTTTTTTAATATAGTTGGAGGTGCCTTAGTTACTGTATTAGCTCACCTGTAATCTACTTTATATGTATGTTTGTGTTCTGTCTGAACCTATAACGCGGTGTTCGCTCACCCGGTAGTTACTTTATGTTTTTTATGTATGTTTGTGTTCTGTCTGAACCTCTGGCATGGTGTTGACTCACCTGTAAGTTGATTTATGTTTGTTTGTGTTCTGTTTATTCTCTGATGCAGCGTGAGCTCAGTAACTAGCTACTTACTCCAACTACAAAACCTACACTTACCTTAGACTCCTGTATTTTGTTAGATGCAGTGTTTTTCCTAATGCACTTCCAAAATGTCATGCCTGGTTTTCTTGAAGTATTGTTGCAGGAAGTAACTCCTTTTAACTACCCCAGGTCAGGTCAGGGTAATCAAGATCAATCTTGCTACTGGTATCATGTAATCCAGTTCCACCTGCCACAAGCCCTGCTCCCTTGCAGAGTGTGCTCTTCTTAGGCAAAGGCTAGGAGAAATAAACTCTGACTAAAAATTCCTGCCTTGGGGCTCTTGGTTGACTAAAGGTTAGAGATGGTGTCTCGATAAAAATACTCATCTTGGGCAGATGTTTACTGCATCCAGCTACTGTCTTGTAGAAGGCCTCCTAGGAAAAGACTTGAGGGGTAAGCAGAAAAATTCTGCTAACCAGCTTCGAACCCCTTCTTCATCTATAAGGCTGGCGTAGATGTAACCTGTGTTACATTGTTTCCTGCCTAAGATGATGAATGCTGGATCTCCTTGACTCTACTCATAGAATTTTGCTTATGCCTCCTTGATAATGGCTATGCAACTCTTCCTGTTATCTCCATACGAGGGTACAGCTCTAAAACTCAGTTTAATGGTTCTGAGGCCAACTGGTAGTAAAGTTTCCCGAACTCTGTGGTAGCTCTCAGAGAGGCTGATTCCATCAACAGCTGCAAAATATCAGAGTATTAACAGTGCCATGTTGCGCATGGATAGTGTCCCTGTTAATGCTTTTGGTGTGCATTGTCAAGGCCACATAAGGAGCCCTATGTAACGGCTTAGGGTTAATTAACAGGACTGAGACAACTGCATAGCTTATTGATTAGGAGGCTGTGTTCTATCTATGAATAAGTCAAGTTCTCATTAAACCCAAATCATGACCAAAGTAACCAAAAATTTTAAACCTAAAAAACCATCCCCACCACCTAAATGTTTTAATATATCTTTTACAAATATTCGCGGTCTGCGAAGCAACTTTCCGTCAGTTGAGTCTTACCTCCTGCAAAATTCACCAAACTTGCTTGCACTCAGTGAAACAAATTTAAATTCTCCAACTCCTTCTTCAGATGTCAGTGTTGATGGGTACCATTCTTTGATTCGTAAAGACTCCAATAGTCACATGCTAGGTGTAGGGGTATACATATCGTTCTCCTTCTTCCCATGATTGTACTCTTTTAGATGTTATCTTTGATCAAATTGACCATGCCCTCTCTCTTTACCCCTCTGCCAATATTTTTGTTGTTGGTGATTTTAATGCTCATCACACTGAATGGCTTGGCTCTAACACCACTGATCCTGTTGGCACTAAAGCCTTTAACTTCTGCATTTCTCAATCTCTTACTCAGATATTTAACTTTGTGACTCGTTTTCCTGACAACCCTAATCATTTACCTTCACTCCTTGACTTATAACTTGTCTCTAACTTATGTTCAGTTTCTCCCTTTTCTCCCTTAGGTGGTTCTGACCATGCAATGATCTCTATAAATCTTTCTTCTCGTACTTCGTTTTTGGGCTCACCTTATCATCGCACCACCTACTACTACCCTAAAGCTGACTAGGATTCTTTTCGTGATTTTCTTCGTGATGGTCCTTGGGCTGATGTTTTTACTCTCTCAGCTGATAAATGCGCCTCCTACGTAACCTCCTGGACTCAGGCTGGAATGGAAGCTTTTATTCCTTCTCGTCGGTTTCAAGTCAAGCCTCATTCTACTCCATGGTTTTCTCCATCTTGTGCAGCTGCTATATCCAATCGTAATCATTTTTCTCATCTTTTTCAAAAGAACAACTCTCTTGAGAACAAATGGCTATTTATTATTGCAAGAAATGGATGTAAAAAGGTGCTTTCTGATGCTAAACTCCATTATTCTCAGTTCACTAAATCTCACAAAAGTTAGGCTCTAAAGACTTTTGGAAAATCTTCAACAGCATTATTAACAAGGGTAGATCTAACATTCCATCTCTCATTCATGGGACTGATCTTATTACCTCTCCCAAGGATAAGGCAGAACTATTTGCAAAGAACTTTTCTTCTAATTCCACTCTTGAATCTTATGGACATTCTCTTCCTTCCATTCCAGTCAAACAGGTTGACCCATTGTTAGACATTCAAATCACTCCGGCTTCTGTTGCTAAAGTCATATCTCAATTAAACTCGTCTACAGCTTATGGTCCAGACAACATTCCTGTCACAATCTTGCAGAATTGTTCTCCAGAACTTTCTTCAATTCTCTCTAAACTATTTAACAAGTGTTTGACTGAGACTTGTTTTCCTGCTTGTTGGAAAATGGCATCTGTGGTTCCAATATTCAAAAACTCTGGAGAAAATTCTGACCCCTCCAATTATCGTCCGATCAGTCTTCTTTCTGTTATTAGCAAGGTCTTTGAGTCTTTAATCAACAAATTCCTTACATCTCATCTTGAGTCAAATAAACTGCTGTCAGACAATCAATACGGTTTTCGATCCTCTCGCTCTACGGCCGACTTGCTAACTGCTGTAACTAAAAGATTTTATCGTGCATTAGATGGAGGCGGTGAGGCTAGGGCTATTGCTCTCGACATATCTAAAGCTTTCGACAAAATTTGGCATGCTGGTCTTCTCCATAAGCTTGCTTCATATGGTGTTTCTGGGAAAGATTTTGATATTATCAAATCATTTCTTTCTGACCGGTTTATTAAAGTCATCCTTGAAGGCCAACACTCTTCTTTATTTCCAGTAACTTCTGGGGTTCCCCAAGGTTCCATCCTGGGCCCTGTTTTGTTTCTTATCTACATAAACGATCTTCCTGACAACCTTTCATCTAAAGTAGCTCTTTTTACTGATGACTCAACTTTATACTCCTGTCTTGACAAAAAGTCTTCTCTTTTCGATCGCCTAGAACAAGCAGCTGATCTTGAATCTGATCTCACTTCAGTAATAGATTGGGGTTTACAGTGGCTTGTGAATTTCAACTCTAAAAAAACCCAATTGCTTACTGCAAACAACTACCGTAGTATGGTCAACATTCCTATATTAATGAATGGCAATCCTCTTACTGAGTCGTCCTCTTTACGTCTTCTTGGATTATCGCTTACTACTGACCTTTCATGGAAACCATATATACAATCGATTGCTAAATTAGCTTCTGCTAAGGTTGCTTCTCTTTATCGTGCTCGCCATTTCCTTACTTCTGATTCCATTCTCTACCTCTACAAATCTCTTATTCGTCCCTGTATGGAATACTGTCATATTTGGGCTGGTTCTTCTAACGATTCACTTTCTCTTCTTGACAAGGTCCAAAAACGCATTGTAAATGTTGTTGGACCTGGACTATCTGCTAAGCTTGAGCCTCTTTCCCATCGTCATAAAGTTGCATCTCTTTCTCTTTTCTACAAATACTATCATGGTCACTGCTCAAAGGAGTTATCATCTCTAGTTCCATCAACTAAAATTCATTCTCGTTTTACTCGTCATTTAGCTAAGTCTCATTTGTTTACTGTATCTGTCCCTGCATGCTCTAAAAACTTTTATTTATCTAGTTTTTTTCCCCTTTAATCCTTTGGAACTCTCTCCCATCTTCATGTTTTCCTGACTCATACAACCTTCAACTTTTCAAGTCTTCTGTCAACCCTTTCCTTGCTCTATAACTCTGTTATTTTTTTTTCCTAGTAACTCCCAACTTAATAGTGGTTGCTTGCAGCCTTGTTGGGAGTGAAGAAAAGTGATTTAGTGAATAAAATTTGGAAAAGGTTGGATTTGTTAAATCTCACCTTTTAACATGTAAAGTAACATGTAAAGTTACTTCAAAGATCTCAATTATTTGTAAAAAGTAGGTTTAAACAAGTTTTTATGTTTAATATTTTTAGGTGCTATTATCATGTTTTAAAATAATACTTGGCTCAATAGTAGTGCATAAGGTTGAAATATTCCGGGAAATTTTGCTCAAAATTTCTAGAATTTTTCAAAAAAAATTTTTGCAATAAACTTATAGTTTTATAAAATTCTTTGTTTCAAAAAATATGCGTTAAAATTTTTTGTGTAAAAATATTTTAAAAGTTTTTATAATAAATTTTATCAATTTAAGAATTGCGCATTTTTTAAAAAAAGCAATAAAATGCTTAATTTGTTATGTTACTTATGTGTTATTATGTTTTCTGTGTTAGCCTGTCTTTTGTGCTTGTGTCAAACATATTTCTAGCTTTTACTTCTCTCAACTATGGTGTAAAATATTCACAAAGCATAAAGAATAAAATCTTTTTTAGATTAACAAGCTTTATTGTGTATTATTTTTTTAGTGTGTTTTAAAGAAACAAAGATTTTTTATGTGTAAAGATTACATACAAATTTTTAAAAAATATAGAAAGATCTTTATGTGTAAAGATTGCATTTAAAACAGCATTAAAAACTTGTTATAAATGTCCTAGCTGTGTTAGATTATAATAATTTATCTAAAAAATGACATTAGAAAACAAAATTTAATATGAATGTTCAGTAAAATAATAATAATTTAATTTGCTTGGTTTGATACTTATAAAACATGCACACAAATCACTCACTTGACAGTATTGGTTGAAAATTACAGTATACATTTATATCATTTTAAAGTAAAGTATAGTTTTTTCATTTATTGATTTATAAAGTCAAAAGTGTTGTTGAGAGTGAGACTTAATTCTTAAAAGCACTTATTTAAACATAATGATGGAAATTATGACCTTGAAATCTTTATTTTTATTGCTAACTATATTTTTAAATAGTTCAAATTTAGCAAAAAAAAACTCTTTTCATTAATCAATAAAGTTGTTAAATCAAAAAAAAAATTGTAAAATACTGTAAATTTTTTCTCAAAGTCTTTTTATATATAATTTTACAGTTTTCAGTTACTTGTAGGCCAATTTAATAGGCATTAAAAGATGTCCCTTCCCTTTAGGTTTGGAGATGTCCCTTCCCTCTTTAGGTTTGGGGGTGCAAATTATGTTAAGTCTTAAACAAAGCTTAAATAAAGCTATAGCAATGAAAGTCAATATGTTTAGCAAATAACAGGATAAAACAGTTTTAGAAAATTTTGAAAACAAATTATCATAGTTGTATTTTTATAGTCATAGTCATATTTATAGTTAGAATAAAAAAATTCAACAAAATACCAAAAAAAGTATTTTTCAAAAGGGGGACTTTCTAAAATTTTTATAATCTGCTTTATATATTTTACGATAAAATTGTCCATAACAACTGCCTTAATCAGACATAAAATTTTGCCCATTAATTATAAAATAACTTATCTTTTTCTAAAAATTTCCTGAGTGGAAAATTTCTGTGAAATTTTAGTTTTTAATAGTGATCTATGTTTCTAGTAGTAGTTATCTTATGTAATAGCAGTTGCCTCAGTCCTGATAATTAAACCAAAGTTATAACAAAGAAATTATTTCTTTGGCACCAAAAGCACTAATACTGACACAATGCACAACATGGCACTGTTAATACGATGATATTCTACAGCTGTCAATTCAATCAGCCTTTTTAAGTGTTTTTAGCTGTTGTTTCAACAAGTACCAAAGTTGTTTTGTCAAACAATCTATAGGTGAAAAACAACATTCTATTGGTGAAAAATGTTGTGAGTCAACTGTTAATAAGTTTTGGACTCAAAGACATTCAGGGGTGTTTTCGGAAAGAATAACTGCAGATCACACACTTACTATATCTTAAGTTAGTGCTTTTTTTTCTCTTCAATTCTTCCAACTGCATTCAATAGTTGATCTACTTAGAGATGTTTTTTCTTTTGAAACTCCTACGCTATAATCTATATAGAGTAGAGGTGCTTGACTGCTTGTAAGTTTTAAAGCTGCTGCCACAATCTAACTTTATCTTCAGAATTATCAGTTTAATTATCCATCTTCATTTTTATTTCAATTTCTTAACATTTTGAAACTTTTCTGATGATTTTTTTACTGTTGACTGAGGGAACATTTCTTGAGTGTCTCAATCTCTCTACTTAATCCTTAATCAAGAAGTCAATATCAGAGTTTCATCTCCTCTTTAAATTAATCTTGTGTATATATTTCACTTTTTTTTTTCTGATTCACAAGTTCATCATAAAATTGTTCGGAATTGCAAGCATTCTTCAACTTTGTCATAAATGGTTTTTGATTATTTTACATCTTCATAAGTAAATTTTGAAATTACTCAATACTGCACTGAAGTTTATAAATACAAGAGATCTTGAATCTTGATCAGATCTTGAATCTGCTAAAATTTCAAAACACAATCTTAGTATGTGAAAAAAGGCATTCATAATAATTTCTCAATTTGTTATTTAAGAAGCCATTTTTCTGTATTTTTTTATAGTTTATGTGTTTTGATTTTTTTCCTCACTGTTATTATCTGTTGATAATAGCAGTGTTGTCAGTAGTTTTTCATTTTAGTTCAATCAACCCCTGGTGACAAAAATTTAGCACAATCTTTGAGAAGCTAAAACTTATTGAATTTTTAGTTATCCAGTCTTACTTCTTTAGTTGTTTTGTTTATAAAGTGTTAGTTATCTTTCACTGAAAGTTTTCTTTACTTAAATTAATTAATAAAAAAGTTATCAAAAAATGAAGCAGACTACATTAATTGAACAACCTCTTCACATTATACTAGAAGTGGGACCAATTACCTCGATGAGAAAAATATCCATTATGAAACAAAAGTTGATAATCATGTGTGTTCATTTTCAGCTTTCCAATTGTTTTAAATGAAAACAATTGCAAAGCTGAAAATGAAGATCAGCTGCGAAAAAGAATCTATTCTTGTTTAAGAAAAATTGATAAAAATCTTGTACAAGGCATATGCAAACATGTATACAAAATTGTTGACACAGTACGTTGTAATGGCGAGAAAGCATTATTTCAGTCCCAAAAGTAAAAAACTAATATATTGCTTAATATTTTCAACTAATTTTTTGTTCATTAAATTTTTTGTTTTACTATTACTGCTTGTGTTTATTTTATGCCAAATTTTTGTCACCAGGGGTTAATATTATAACATAATATACCCTATAATATAATATTGCTTATTATAATATAATATACCAGCTGCAAAAAATTGCCTGAAAAAATATAGAATTATTATATTTCAATACAATATGTAAAAATATTCTTTTGCAATACAATATGCAGAAACATTTTATTGCAATGCATTAAAAAAATGAAATTGAAAAAAATTAAATAATTGCATTTGTTGTTGCAAAAAATTTTTGTTTAAAAATAGTCTCATTTAAATTTCTATATTTTAATTTACCATTTAAATATGAAAAAATCCTATTGAGCTAAATATATTTTTTGGATATTTTATTAAAAAATCATATGGAACTATAAATAGATTAATAAGTTTTTAATAAATTTAATAATAAATAAAGTTAATAATAAATAATAGATAAAAAATAATTTAATAAATTTTGACATATAAATTTGCCAAATGGTCACATCACGCACTAAATGCCAGAGCAATAAATAAATAAAAAATATATTAAATAATAGTAAATTAATTACAATTATAAAATAGATAAAGTAAATAATATATAGATTAAAACACTTTTTTTATATTATATACTGTTAAACAAACTATAAAACAAACATTAATGCATATTTATAAATATAATTTGTCTAGTGATAGGTAATAAACTTCTCATAATGAAGTTTATTACTACTGAAAAGACTTTGTAAAGCACCAATATTTTTTTAAAAAATAATTTTTTAGTAAAGTAAAAGTACTTAAAAATTAAACCACAAAGAAAACCAATGGTTAGGTAATGATAAATACAATTTCATATAAAAATATTAATAATGTCAAAAAAGTATATATAATTTCAAATTTAAATGAAAAACGTAACAAGACTTTTTTCAAAATCAAAATCCAAATAATAACAAGTTATGTTTTTGAATAGTGGAAAAAAAGTAATAAAAAAACATAGTTTTGAGATCATAAAAATCTTCTTAAAATTACTGTGTGCAATTTAAAAACTAGAATTTCATGAGAGAAAAATATTTCTTGATTTTGTTACAATTAGCGAGTGTTTAATATATACAGGATAATTGGTCTTTGATAATTCAACTCAACTAGGTCTATTTTACTAAGAAAACTAACAGCTGAACCCTGGTGGTGAACTCAGATGAACCCTGGTGTTGCAGAAAATTAACAATGAAATCAAAGTCAGTTTTAAAACGACTTTTTTAGAGCAACTTCATTTTAAAGTTGTTTTTGGGTAAAGAATAAAGTTTTTAATGTTTAGTAACGAAATATTAAAAACCTTTAAACAAAGGCTTTTGATTTTAAATGACATTTTATTAGAAGTGTTGCATTTGAAGTGTTTGCATTAAGAATTTGTTTAAATTTTTACAAATTAAAAAAATGTCACTTGTAATGATTACAATTTATACAAATTTATCTTTTTCAGAGTTCCAATCAAGCTACTGGCTCGTTTTCTAAAGGTAAAATCTGTTAAATTTTCGGTTAAAGTTGCTTTGTGATTAACTAACATGTCAAAACTATTAACAAAACAAAAAAAATCTATGCAAGCAATAAAGTTAAAGTAAAATTGAAAAACCTTAATAATAAAATTAACTGTAATTGAATTTTTTAATTCAATTTGTTAAATTAGTATTGAAAAAATTAACTGTTAAAATGAAACAGTAAATGTTAATAGTTTTTATAACTATATATAACTAAATATTTAAATAACCAACTTAATTTTTTGTTTTGGAATAATATAAAATTATTTTTGGTTTCAATTTTATGTTTTTTTAGTAATGATTAAGTTTTGCATTATTTTATAGGGTTTGGTACTGGTTTTACCCAAGTTCAACCTTCAGTTTTTGGATCACCCCCTTCATCTGCTCGTAATATTTTTTTATTTTATTTTATTTATTTTTTTACAGTTGTTCTTGACTTAATATTTTTGTTTTTGTGTAAAAATATGTAAAAATAGAGATAGCGAGAAGTTATTTTTTTACATTTAATTTTTTTACATGCCACTATAATAATAAAGCTAATTTTTTTTTGTTCAAAATTTTTTTTGGATAACTAACTGGAAATTCTGAAGAGATATTCAACTGGAAGAATTTTATTTTATTAAATATTTTGGGTTCTTTTTTTATCATTTTACCTGTTTCCATTACATGAACATTGGTTTTTATGATGCTCAATTAAAATTGGTCCCATTTTTCTTCTAGGAAATATTTTTAGGTGTATATTATATATTATATAAATATTTCATTCTTGTAGCCATTTTCATTTTCGTTTCACCAATGTATTTTTGCTTACACTCGTATTCTATTAAGTATACACTGGGTATACCTATTTGACTGTAGTTTTATTTTGTTGGGTGAGGTTAGCAAAGATTAATGTTTGCCCTTGTTTTAAAAACTTCTTGTAACCTGCTTTCCAAAAGATTTTTTGAAGTTTTGGGGGATCTACTCATATGGTTAGCATTGTTGCTTTATTGTAAGAAAAGGTTATTTTATTATTTCAGTGTATTAAGACTCATTTTTATTTTATTTCCTTTGCAAAGTTTTGCTATTTAATATATTCTGGAATGAGTTGTGACACTAATTATATAAATTCAAGTTGTGTGTTTTTATAAACTCAAAATTTTCAACAAAATAAAGTTTAAAAAAATCTCTTAAATTATCAACAAAAAGAATTCAAAAGATTTAGATTTACAAAATAATCCGTTAGGAATGAAACATGCCATCTGATTGCTTTTTTCGAAGCATGTATATATACATATACATATACATATATATATATATATATATATATATATATATATATATATATATATATATATATATATATATATATATATATATATATATATATATAAACACACACACACACACACACACACACACACACACATATATACAAACATACATAACATATATATATATATATATATATATATATATATATATATATATATATATATATATATATATATATATATATATATATATATATACACATACATATATACACAAAAAACCACAGTCATCACCAAGTTCGCTAAACCTATCATTCACCAATATTCGTGGTCTTTGAAGTAACTTTTCTTCTGTTGATTCTTATCTCTTGCAAAGTTCACCAGACCTGCTTGCTCTTTGTGAGACTAATTTGAGTTCAGCTGTCTCATCTTGTGATCTTAGTGTTGATGGTTATCTTCCTTTAATTCTTAAAGACTCCAATAGTCATATGCTTGGCCTGGGCATTTACATTCGTAAGAATTCACCCATTTGTTGGGAAACTAGGTTTGAATCCACAGACTACTCTTTTATGAGCTTTTGTTTAGCACCACTTCACTCTATCACCTTTCTCTTTGTTCTATATCGCTCTCCCTCATCTCAAGACTGCACTCTTCTTGATGTTATTTCTGATTATATTGACCAAGCACTCATTCTTTATCCATCAGCCAATATTGTTGTTGTCGGTGACTTTAATGTTCATCACACTGAATGGCTTGGCTCTAGAGTCAGTAACTCTGCAGGCATTAAGGCCCACAACTTTTGTCTTTCTCAATCCCTAACTCAAATAGTCAACTTTCCAACTCGCTTTCCAGACAACCCGAATCATTTACTTTCTCTACTCGACTTATGTCTTGTTTCTGATCCTAGTCAGTGTGCAGTTTCTTCACACTCACCCTTAGATGCGTCTGATCATGGTTTGGTCTATCTAAAACTATTATCTCATTCTTCTTTACCATTAGAATCCCCCTATCATTGTACATCTTACAACTACCTTAAAGCTGACTGGGACTGTTTTCGTGACTTTCTTCGTGATGGCCCCTGGGTAGAAATCTTTTGTCTCCCTGTTGACAAATGTGCTTCTTACATAACTTCGTGGATTCAGGCTGGCATGGAATCCTTTATTCCCTCTCAAGAAAAAACCATGGAGAAGAGTGAGGTCAAGCCTCACTCTTCTCCATGGTTTTCCTCACATTGTGCTTCTGCAACTGCCAATCGAAACCATTACTTCCATATCTATCAGCAAAACAATTCTCCAGAAAACAGACGTCTGTTTATTACTGCTAGGAACCATTGTAAAAAGGTTTTGTCTAACGCCAAAGCTCGCTATTCTCAGATCATGAAATCTCGTATTTCATCACAAAAATTAGGATCTGGAGAATCTTTAATAGTATCAATAATAAGTGCAAGTATGTAATTCCACCTCTTTTGTATGGTTCAGACTTGGTCACCTCACCTAAAGACAAAGCTGAATTGTTTGCCAAGAACTTTTCATCAATATCATCTCTTGATGCCACTTGTTGCATTTTACCTGATATAGCCGTCAAACAGGTTGATCCATTGCTCGACATTCGTATCACTCCAGCTTCTGTATCTAAAGTGATTTCCCGCTTAGACTCTTCTACAGCTTGCGGCCCGGACAACATACCTGTTATAGTCTTGCCGAAGTGGTCTCCGGAGCTGTCGTCTATCCTTTCAAAACTATTTAACAAGTGCTTATCAGAGTCTTGTTTTCCAGCCTGCTGGAAAGCAGCATCTGTTATCCCTATTTTTAAAAATTCTGGAGAGCGATCTAATTCATCTAATTACCGTCCCATTAGTCTTCTTCCTATCATAAGCAAGGTTTTTGAATCTTTAGTTAAAAAACACTTAATCTCTCATCTCGAATCTCATGACCTACTTTCTGATCATCAATATGGATTTCGATCTTCTCGTTCTACGGCTGATTTGCTATCAGTAATAACCGATAGGTTTTATCGCGCATTAGATAAAGGAGGAGAGGTTAAAGACATTGCTCTTGACATTTCTGAAGCATTTGATAAAGTTTGGCATGCTGGTCTCCTCCATAAGCTTTCTTCTTACGGTGTATCTGGAAACATCTTTAAGGTTATTGAATCCTTTCTTTCCAATCGTAGTATAAAAGTTGTCCTTGATGGACAGCACTCTTCTTCTTATTCTGTAACCTCTGGGGTTCCCCAAGGTTCTATCCTTGGCCCTATACTCTTTTTAATTTACATTAACGATCTTCCAGATATTCTCACATCTAAGGTGGCATTGTTCGCTGATGATACTACCATTTATTCTTGTCACGATAAGAAGCCAACTCCCTCTGATTGCTTGCAGGGGGCATCTGAGTTTGAAAAGGATCTCACTTCTGCTACAGCATGGGGCTCACAGTGGCTGGTGAATTTTAATTCAGATAAAACTCAATTTTTTTCGGCCAATCGTTGTCGCAATAATTTAGACCTTCCTATATTTATGAACGGTAATGTATTCGATGAGTCTCCTACCCTTCATCTTCTAGGATTAACTCTTACTTCTGATCTTTCTTGGAAACCTTATATCAAATCCGTTGCAAAATTAGCATCTGCTAAAGTTGCTTCTCTTTATCGAGCTCGTCACTTTCTTACTCTGGATTCTATTCTCTATCTCTATAAATCTCAAATCCGGCCTTGTATGGAATACTGTTGCCATATCTGGGGCGGATTTTCTAATGATGCCCTTTCTCTTTTAGACAAGGTGCAAAAACGCATTGTAAACATAGTTGGACCTGCTTATGCAGCCAACCTTCAACCTCTGTCACATCGTCGTAATGTTGCTTCTCTTTCTCTTTTCTACAAATACTATAATGGGCACTGCTCAATTATAGTAAATGGCAAAGAGCTAGCGTCTCTTGTGCCATTTACTATAATTCATTCTCGTGTTACTCGTCATTCAATTAACTCTCATCCTTTTTCTGTTACTGTTCCTAAGTGCTCCAAAAATTCTTATTCGTCTAGTTTTTTTCCTCGAACATCAGTTCTTTGGAATTCGCTTCCTTCATCTTGCTTTCCTGATTCATATAATTTGCAATATTTTAAGTCGTATGTCAATCGTTATCTTGTTCTACAATCTTCATCTTTTCTCTTCCAGTAACTTCCAACACTAATTAGTGGTTGCTTGCAACCTTGTTGGAAGCAAAGATAATTTAAAAAAAACAAAAAAAAAATCATACATTTTCTCAAAAAAAGAAAAAAAAATTGCTTAATAGTTGGATGCTGAAAAGAGATAATAGCGATGAGTTAATAAATAATAATGATAAGTCAATAGGATAAAGGTAAGTGATAAATATAAAAATAATAAGCAGTTGGTAAAGTTTTTTGTTCTATAATTATAATTAAATATTTCTTTTGATTTTTTATAAATATCTTTTTTTGTCGTTATTTAAAGTTAAACTATCATTTTGATGATTGTTTATATTTTTTACCAATTTGACGGTTGTTTAATATATAAATATTCAATAATGCAAATTCTAGATATTATTATCTCTGCCTTTTTATTCTATTATTATTTTATTCTGTAGCAATTTTCGGAGCTGCTGCTCCATCATTTGGAGGGAATCCTGTTTTTGGATCACCCCAACAAACGACAAACATGTTTGGTGGTCCTCCTTCATTTGGTAGTGGAGCAACTTTTGGAGGTGCACCATCTTTTGGCAGTAGTGTTGGCGTTTTTGGCGGTGGAAGCACGAACGCTCCAACATTTGGTAATTTGGCTTCGCACACAGGGACACCATCTTTTGCCTCTTTAGGTTCTTCTGCTCAACCATTTGGACAACCTGGAAGTGTATTTGGAAGTGCCCCAGTACAAACGTATGTTTTATAAATATCACTAACATATGTTTTATAAAATATGAAATTTTATAAAATCTTATTTTAACAATATTATTTTATATTTAGTACAAGTCCACAGTTTTCTTCCTGGAGATAAAAATGCATTAAATGTTTATTGAGGATAAATGATTGGAGTATTTTTTTTTTAATGGAGATGTATGACTGTATTATGTTTTAATAGCAAGATAATGTTTTTTTCAATAAATTTTTTTGTTTTACTTTTTTAAAATAGTATTTTGAGACTATCTAAACGTTTTTTATTTTGAAATCTTGAATGATAGAACTATTCCACATAGTTCACATACAGTTATGAGCATGAAAGTACCACTATCTGGAATTTTTTGAATATTATTGAGCAATTTTTTTTTTTACTAATTACAGAAAAAATTTTATTATATTTTGACACAACTAAAAGAATAAAAAAATCACATCAATAGTAGTTTTACATTTTATTTCAGAAACAAAACAATATTAAAAATAGGTTGCAGTCGTTGAAATAGCAGTGGCATCTGAAAATGGAGAAAAACAATAATTTTTGTGGTGTTTAACATTAAAAAAGTTATTTTTTTAATGTTAAACACCACATTTTTTATTGCGACCGTCCTTATTGAATAGCTTCTAATAACTGCTGAGCATTAGTTGGATTAGCAGCAGAAACAGTTTTTTTAAGATCTCTCCATAAGTTTTTATAAATTACCTCAACCCCATTGCCCTGAAACTACTACTTTGTGTTTTGGGTCTTTGTCTTGTTGGAAGACCAATTTTATCGGCATATCTTCATTAGCAACGGGCACCATGACATTATCGAGGATGCCGACATATATGCTAGTCCATGTTACAATACATATGTTTAACATTAAATATGATGCCATTAATTTTATAAATAGGGCTGACACCATTATATATGAAGTAGGCCCATACCATTACTTTAGCTCCACCATGTTTCACAGACTTAATGGTAAATATTTTATGGAATTCTGTATTAGCTGGACGTCTTACATATTGTCTTGAGCCTGTACCTCTATAAAGAACAATTTTTAATTCATTGATGCATAATATTGCGCCATTTTTTCATGGGCCAATATTGGCTCGTAAACTGCAAACGTGTAGCTGTTTGTTTTTTTGTTAACAAAGGGACTTTTTGTGAACTATGTGCATATACAGGGTGACAACCATAAGGTGAAACACATAAAGTAAGCTATATTTTCAAATTTAAGAGTTATATTTATTCGAAAGTGGTATCAATAGAAAGCTACAAGTGTATTTAACAAGTTTTATTGGTTTAATTCGAACCTGTCGCCCTCTGCTTTTATGCAGGCTCGACATCTCTTGAAAAAGTTTTCACACACGGCACGCACGGTTTCTTGTGGCATTTTGTCCCAAATGTCGATCAAAAGTTCCTTGAATTGGTCCAAAGTTGTTAATTTATGCTTCCCCAGTTCTTGTAGCATGTATCCCCAGACAAAGAAATCAAGGGGATTGAGGTCAGGACTCGAAGCAGGCCATTCTTTGGTATCGATAAAATCTGGGAAATTTTGCTTGCAACAATCTTGAACAACAATAGCCTTGTGTGCAGGGGCAGAATCTTGCTGGAACACCCATGGATCATCACCATACCTTTCTTTAGCTTTAGGTTCAATCAAATCTTTGATCACATTCTGTAAGTAGTATTCTTTGATGATTTTCACCCCTCTATCGATAAATTTCAGAGGAAATTTCCCCTTTTTCGAGATGGCCCCGAATACCATGACCGCCGAAGCGTTCTGATAACGAGGGACAGTTCTAACGTTTAAAGGAACATCAGAGAGCTTTACAGCATAAACTCTGTCATTTTGTCTGTTCAACGGGCGCTCCAAAGTAAACATTTTCTCGTCCGAAAAAACAATATCTGCACCACCGTGCCGCTTCAATAGCGATTTGCAACGCTTGACTCTTTCCACCTTGTTTTTGTCAGTGAGGCCGGCAATTTTTTGTTTACGGTAGCACTTAAGTCTTAAATCTTGTTTTATAACCTTTTGCATAGAGGTATATGACATGTTCAGCTCTTTAGCTAGCTGCCGACCTGAGCGAGCAGGATTTCTTCGTAAACGTTCTCTTACCACTTTGATGATTGCTGGAGTGCGCTTGACGCGCTTTCTTTTTCTAGTTTTAGCTGGAATTGTTTGCCCAGTAGTTTTGTAACGAGAAATTGTTCGACTAATCAATGATTTGCTGACTTTTATATCATTTAGGCGTCTCCAAATATCAGCTTGACTTAAATTTTTTTTGTGTAATGAAATTATCAGCTCCCTGATAGGATTTAGATCTGTATTTTTCATACAATTCCTCATTTTTTCTTCCTCAAATTTTTAAAACTTTTTCTAAACAAATGTCAAAATAAACTGTAAACATGGGGAAAATCATATGGTACGGGGTTAATAAATGATTGGGGTTCGAAAATGTGTTTCACCTTATGGTTGTCACCCTGTAAGCTGTTCTTTCTTAAAGCGCCTACGAACAGTATTGTCACTCACTTGCAGTTTAAGATCATCTTTGACTTATTTGGCATTGAAAATAGTTTGCTATTAACATATCCAACAATTCTTCGGTCTACTTGTCCGGCAGTCTGAATATGAGTTTGTTTCTGTTTTGAATTTTGAGATATGAGTGCTTTTTGAATGACTTGTGGCATGTAATAATAAAACGACCTGCTCGCTATGCGTGAATGTTGCGATATTTATGTTTACATTTCAAAATGATGTTAATGCCAACAAAAAAAAAATTCTAAAATTATTGATGTTTGGAGATCCTTTCATATCTAATATCATACACCATTTTTGGTAGTAAAGTTTTTATCAAAAAATTCAACTAGAATTCCTTTGTGTTGGTAACATGAAGATATTCTGAAACCTTTAAGTTTATTGGATGTTATTTTACGAGTTAAAACGTTTTTAAAGTGCTCAATGCAGCTAAGGCATAAAACAAACACGAAAAAAAACTGGAAAAAAAAAACTCGATAATTTAAAACAAAGCTGATTGGTTGTCAGTGGCAAACCGAAAAACTTTTTATTTAAATAATGCAAACAAAGAATTCGTATTGAAATTAATTTACTTATAAAGTTTTTTGATTGTTTACACATTCTGAATGGAATAATTTATTATTTCAAGATGGCCGAATAAGTCCAGAGTATTTCAAAAAATGATACTAAATACCAAAAATAGTTTTTTAAGTGTGGCTCAAAGTTATAATTATTTATGCAAAAACGACTTTGGTAGAAAAATTAATACTACCGTATCTAAATGACATTATTGTTAAACATACATACATATACAAACAAACATACAGTCAGCCGCATCAGTAGCAAATAGAATGCTATACTCAAAAAAACATTTCGCAGTCGCAGTTTTTATTTATGGCGCACTCTGAATCTCACTTACATTTGCCCCCATCTTGAGTTTGCTGTACAAGCATTTAAAATCAGACATTACCATTCTCGAGCAGGTCCAACAACGAGCAACAAAAACAATATCGACTATTAAACACCTCTCCTATGAAGATCGACTCCAACGGCTTGGTTTAACAACTCTTGAAGAACGCCGCAAAAGAGCAGATTTTATCGAGCAATTCAAAATCATTCGTAAACTCGAGTTTGTCAGATTTGTCGTCCCGCAAAAATTTTTAAAAAGTAAAGATAAGTATATTCTAAGAGGCCATAACCATAAACTAGAACGTCAGATGGTAAAAAACTGTGTGGAGCGATATAACTTTTTTTCAAACAGAATTGTCGCCCCATGGAATGCGCTTTCGCAAGAAGCAGTGAACGCTTAATCCATCAACGCTTTCAAAAATAACATAAGAAAGTAACTTTATAGATACAACTGCTGCTTTGTCTGTAGCGTCTGTATCTCCATGTTCGTCAGCATAGAGGGGCCTGGTGTAGCACCTCTTTATCAAATTATAAATGGATTATTGTATTTGTATTTGATCACTGAAATAAATATAATTAAAAAAAAAAAAAAAAATACTCATTTAGGTTTGGTATTGAAAATAATAAACTTAATTTTGATAAAAAAATGATTTTTCATGGATAATTTTCCCAAATGATATCTGATTAGAAATGTCAAGTTACATTCATTGAAAACAAACACCAATACGTGTTTTTTTGAAAAAATCAAATTTATAGACTTATCTATAGCCAAGCGAAAGTACTTTATGTTAAAAATTGCATCTTTTCCTAATAAAACTTGAAGATTTGTTATAGTCGCATTTCTTTTACCAGATTATAATAGTCGTTAAAATAATCTTTCCATACATACCAAATATGTTATACTTTTTGATGAAAAAACTTACATATATTGTAAGTAAATTTTTTTTTTTTCGGAACACGCTTTTCCGAACTTTTTTGTTCGGAAAAACGTGTACCAGGCCTTAAGACGAATTTCCACTTATCCGGGAACGGGAAAAATAATCACGTGAGCATGCGTAGTTTTACTTCGGACAAATTAAAACTTATAATACGCATGCCCACGTGATTATTTTTCCCGTTCCCGTAAAAAAACGGAGGAGTTGAGTGTGTATATTTTACATGCTGACTCAACAAAAAAATTTATTTCTTATAACATTTTTTAATTGTATTTGTGAGTAAAAACTAATTTCTATTTAAAGTTATTTAGAAACTTTTGAACCTATAAGCAAATTTAATAATACAGACGTTACGTGAGGTGTAACCACACTTCTTTATGTTTTTAATCTATAAGCCACTTTAATGATACAGAAGTTGCGTGAAGTATAACCACACTTCTTTATGCTTATGAACATTGCATAAATAAGA